TGAATTTTTTAACGATTTTTACCCTGCGTGTACCTGTATATAAGGGAGTACAAAAGGGAAAAGTGGTCAAATTCCCAAGGGGGTGTATTTTATAGAATACATTTGAAAAATGGGCAGAAGAAAGCCCAATTTCAAAAAATTTTCCCCTCCCACCCCCCTATTTTATGTTTCGGTTTTTTTTTTACCCGTTTTTTTTCTTTGTTTCAAAATTTTTAAAAATTTAAATTTTACCCAAAGACTAGGGCGAAAATTCGAGACCCGCCCCCATTCCAAAACCCCGATGTTTTAAAATAGACTAGAGAAATTATTGTTCTTGAAATTAATAATTCCCGTCAAATACAAACCCACCTAAACCCATAAGTTTTTTGTTGTTGTTTGAAGTATTTGAGAAAGAAAATAAATTTTTATTTTTCTTACGGGTTTTGATATAAAAACAAATCTATACATATATTCATTAATATACTTTTACCTCATCATAATCAGTAGGTTCCAGTTCTGTGATAAGGATGTGACATGCCAAGATCAGTTTGCCGGTGCTCATTTCATATCTTTCGTTCTTTCTTAATTTCAAATCCTGAAACTGAAATAATATGTTAATTTTTTTTATCTATTTATAGGTTGAAAATTAAGATGTTATCGGAGTGTCACAATCAAAGTCACCAGATCATTACAAAATACACATTATGCATTAGAAATAATTATGATATTTTATGGTATAATTATAATAAGAGATATTTTTATCTCCCTTCCTTCGGCACAATCACTAAAATAGTGCCGATATCTTTTACCTATTCGTGAATTTAGTTATTGAATGTATATTTTTTTGTATTTAGATTGTAATACTTTAAGGAAGCGAGTGTCTTTATATTATGTTCAGTCCATTTTTTTTCTAGAAAAGCAACAATAATTACAAAAAGTCATGGTCCATCTGAAATTAACATGCTTTTAAAATACAAACATTGTACTAAATTAAAAGTTGTAATTATTAATGAACTGTAATTAGTACTTTCTGAATTTTTTGTGTGGTACAATATTTTGATTTACTTTCAGCCTTCTAGTGCCAGCATCATATACATGTACCCGTGCGACCAGTGCCGACCAAAACCAGTCGGCATATCCTTGACATCTGCTCATGATCTGCACTATTCGATATTAAGTCACTACATACATGACATATTTTGAAATTTTCCCTTAAAATGAGTAATGGTTTTGTCCAGATTTGAAGATGGGCAAGTCCATTTAAAATATTTTGCGGAGTTAAAGGTGTAATCAGCGACTCACAAAGCCTTATCTGTAAAATGTATTGTTCTATGTTTAGCTAAATTTTGTATTTCTTCAAAATATCTTTACTTACCTCGACCCTCATTTCATATACTGAACGTCAGGGGAAGTAACTAAGATCACAACATCGAGTAGCAGACACACCGGAAGTCGCAAATTTCCACTTTAAAATTTATTGTCGTCTGCTACCTGTGGATACACTATTGGTAACATGGTCGAACAAATGTAACATTTTTTAGCATTTTAAAAATAATTGTAAGTTATTTGTTTAAATTACTGAAATGTTCTTAATGACCCATAACTCAACATTATTATGCTCATTTGATAAGAATATATTGTAAACTTAAATTATCATTTTAGACATGACTGCTTTAAATCAAGCTGACTAAGTGGCATACATGTAATTATATATAAATCAAAATCTAGTTTAAAGTTAAAGGTGTTTAGATTATGTTCCCCGTTACACAATCATAATGAATTCTAAGGTAGGAAGTTACACACAAAACATGCAAAACGAAATGTTTTACGAGAACAGACGACCAAGTGACTAAAATAGCCCTTACTCGTTTTTCAAAAAGTTGGGCTAAAAATGGTTCATTATGAAACATTAGACAATAATGATATGTTAACATAATCATTACATTGACACGAAAGTTTATTTTTCAAAAAGTAGAGAAGACATACGTTACAAAGTTATGATTTCCTTTTTCAAACCTACTGTAACATGCTGAAAGCGAGTCCAGTATAGAGCTGTGCCAGCCTGTAATTTCGGGCAGTCTGATATGGTGCATGATTGCATCTGCGCGACAACTGTCGTCTGCTAGGATTCTTCCCGCCATTTCCTGCTTTACGTCTGCTAAATGATCAATAAACATTTTTCTTCAATAGTATGAATTATATAGTGGTAATATTTAGAAATATACAATTTTATCTAGTCTTGTCTATCAAAAGTAATCCAGTGATATTTTCTTACGACATCTGAAAACAAACGAAAAACCAAAGAACAATAATATTATACTAGTCTAAAATGTCGCATTCTGCATCTAAAATAATCAGTATATATAATTGTTAAAAATGTCGCATTCAACACCCGAATATCATTATTAGAACTGTCACGTTCTAAATCTAAAAGAATCAATGTTATCTTTAATATATTGCCGCATTCTCCACCTATATATTTATATAATTATCAAAAATATCACATTAATATTAAACATCAATATAATTATACAAAATTGGGTATTGTACAGCTAAAAATTCAATGTAACTATAAATGTGTCTCCCATTTTTATGAAATTAATATAACTATTTGAAATGATGAATAATAATAATTCGACTAGTACATGTACATGTTTAACAAAATCCAAAATCCGAAATTTTTTAATCGATCACAATGTATCAGCAAAGAATCAACTGTCTTATCGACCACCAATTCCCAAACTATTCAGAAATAAGGCCAGAATTTTCGACAAAGAAAAGCAACCATAACACACAAATGACATTAACAACTCCAACAAAGACAATGAAAAACTACCATAACACTCATAAACAACTCCAACAAAGAGACAAACTAAAACACCGAACCAAAATCGAATAACCCCAATCACACACCAACTCCAAAAATTGAGAAAGAAACCAAAACAACCAAAATCGATATAAACAATGCGCACAAAATATCGTCAATATACATAAACATAAAACATAGTTTTCAATTTTGACAAAGAATCTTCATTTCTAAAATAAAATTTTGTAATTCTACGCAGTTTCAGTTACTGACATAATACCATTTACATGTATTATATGTATATCAAATTTCTTATAATGTCAAATTTTCCAAATGTAAATGCTGTTTTAATGTTGCATAATGTGCGCTGTCCTTGTTCCACAAGCATGGCCCGATATAGTATGGTTACTTGCAAGTTCATTGGTTCCGTTCTGAAACTGATAAAACTTACGAAGAAAAGTTAAAACTCATTTGTCTAATAATAACTAGTTTCTAAAAAAAGCTTTAAATAACTAAATTTACCTGATGCTCACTTGAACAACGTCATTCCATCATCACTGTAACACCCATGGACGTCCTCATCAAAACAACATTGTCATCAACATGGCCATCATTTTTACATATCACACGTTAATCATCCGTGTCAATACTTTGTTAGACCTCATATGCCAACCATCAATTATTCATATCTGTATTTTGTTTTATATCATAAGCCAATTATCATAATGGTCAAAAATAACTATGATCGAAACGTCACATGAAAAATTAAAAGTTTAACATGTATAATCCTTATGATTAATGCTAATTTATAATTAAAGTCCATATTCATGGAAAATTTAACTTTGTGTCAAACAAATTGTACCTACGAAACATATTTGTTAATTTACAAATTTTATGTGATACAATAACATTTCCCGAATTTTCTGTGAAATATTTACATTTTTTCCTAAAAAAAAAACAGTAACGCTTTCCCGATTTTCATGTGTAATAATATTACGTTTCGGCTATATAGTTTTTATTAATAAAATATAAAATAACTTACATTTTTGATTGATACTAAGTTCTTCGACGTCCTAAAATAAAAGAAACAATTCCAAATCTGCCATACTTTTGTTTCCGTCACGTCCCTCTCACAAACTTCACGCAAATGTAGCTAACAGTAAAGTGCATGGAAAATCACTCGACCATGAATCTTGAGCGCTCGGGGACAATCTTGTATGTTTAACCACTGATTGATTCTCACCAAAAAACTTTACTAAACAAATCCGTTAAAGACGCCAGCAAAACATTTTCCGACCTCTTTTCAGTCACACGATTTAATTTGCTATGTATTTATATGAAACTATTGTTCCCCGCCTGGATAATTCGGAAGGACCAAAAAGTTAACGTGGTTGGCACACCATCACGTGACATGCGCGAAACAGTTTTTATTCGTCATTCGGGCATTAAGACGCAAGAACAATTGGTTAAAGTTAAAAACGGTTTATAATATATAAGTTTGTTAAGGTATTTAATTAAAGGATCTCCACTGAGGTCCTAAAACCTAAACACATAAAACAATAAATTCGTACATAGATAAACTGCAGGACAAATATACAAAAGATGTTAAAATGTATAGGGGATATTCAAGTTTTTTCTGTAAATACACGATTTATTTTCATCAAGTGGTATGAGAATAAATATTTCATGAGTGGCGGTATCCACGAGTGAAATGTGATAATTTTCATGCCACAATATGAATATAAATCATGTATTTAAAGGAAAAACTTGAATTTTCTGTTTATTATATACATTTGTCTCTATTCTTAAATTACAATATAGAAAACTATTCCTTAAATTTGAAAGAGAGAAGTCCGGCAAGACACCAGTGAATACACAGAAAGTATGTTTCACTAAAATCCTTTTTTACAGTGAAGTACGAAAATGAAAATAAGCGTTTTATTTCATCAATATTTCTCAATATTTCATTTATAGGTATATAATAAATATATGTACTCTGATTTGATTTCGATATAAATTCTATTTTGTCAAGGATCTTTATTACAATGTAATATATTAATCCGCGATTATGTGTAATTCTTGTCCGATTTGGGTTTTAAAAGCGTTTAACCACTTTTCATTTTTGGGTCATTTTGCACTTATACTGGAAAAATAGAGTGAGCGAATAATCTGAAATCTTGCACACAAGTTAACGTGCATCCAATAGTATATAAATTTAGAAAAAGATATTACCAGTTTCGTCATAGCAATAACGTTTATTAGAGATGTAGATTTATCTATATCTCTGCGTTAGTTTTACAAAATTCATACCCTGGTTTGTATATTTTAACTGGAACAATAATAAAATTTTGGTCCCAGATTTTAATTAGAATAGGAAACACATTTGTGACATTGTAACAAATGTGAACAAAAAAAGTAAATTACATGAACACTGACTTATTTTTTAAAAAATCAGCATCAGACTAAAATAACAAAATTGAAAAAAACAACAACAACAAAAAACAGATTGCAAAAGTAGAAAATAAAAAATATTCATAAGATTGTTCAAAATGCAGCGCGTATATATCACATCTACACTAATTTATTTCTGTTGCTCTGGCTATTAAAACGTTCAACGGCGCCTAGCTAGAACTGACACTGACAATTTCATTGATAGGACTGGTATAGAATTCTATATTTTTTTTGTTTTTTATTTGATTTTCACGTGTAGTCTATAGCCGGGCAAGCCACTTATTTGGGGTAATCTCAGGGGCAGGTAACTTATACATACGTCTGAAATATCTTTTTTCCTTTTGTAATGTTTTTCAGTATATTTTTCCATATTTTCAACCAAAAAAATCCATGAAATATTTCTGTTACCTTTTTCATAAGAGGTAATTTTAATTCTTCTAAGTTTTGCCTTAAAAGCGTTTTAATTTCGCCGCCGCCGCCGCTGCCACCGCCGCCAACACGACCACCACCAATAACAACATAGTATGAGTACGAAAAAGTTTTGTAAAATGCGTAAGAATACAACACTCGCTGTATCTGTAAAATCCACAGATCCGCTGATTTTTATAAAACTCGAGTTCAACATCTTGCGACATTTAACGATAGTGTTGCGACATTTAACGGTAGGGGAAATCCGTGCGACATTTAACGTTAACATTGCGACATTTAACGGCAAATGATTTTGTGACATTTAGCGGCGGTTGCGACATTTAGCGGCAATGGTGCGACATTTAGCGGTAAATGCGACATTTAGCGGTGTTGCGACATATAACGGCGCCACACCGTATCGTTTGTTAATTAAATACATATTTCAATACATGTACATATATCAATCACTTGCGGAAAAATGAGAGTAATAGAGGATATTTAAGTTTTTTTCTATAAGCATAGCATCTATTGTTATCGAGTGGTATGAAAATAACATTTCGCGAGTGGCCAGAGACACGAGAGAAATATGATTATTTTCATACCACAAGATTAAAAAAAATCCTTTATTTTTATAGAAAAAAACAAACTTTATTTTCTGTTTATTATAATATATACTTTTTCCCTATTGTGACCTTACAATTCTTAAGAGTTCTACTTTAGTTTTGTGTATTGACTTAATTAAGAAGAAATTAAGTAGTCCGGCAAGACACCAGTGAAAATACGAAAAATATTTTTCCCTGCGGTGCTAAGCCGGTACAGAAACGTTAAAGGGTCTACGAATTAATGAGATCATGATGTGTAGGTCGACTGATTTTATTTCGATTTAATTAGAAGTTTTAACAAAAAATCAACTAATTTTATTTTACAAAGATTTTAAAAAAGAGAAAAACAACAACACCTTTTCTCGATATGCTTGTAGTTTTTGTCCTTTTGTAAAAATTTTGTCCTTTGTCGAGACAATAAACTTCAAGCATTTTGAGAAAAGCGACTTAGGATGACAAAGGATGGTCTAGTCTTTGTGAATAAAATGAATTAATTTGTGTTTAAACATTGAATCAAAACGCCTGCCAGAAAAGCTTATGTGAATTTTTTCACACATTAATTTTCTGGTAAATGTCAAAATGACAAACACACATTCGCGGTTTCTCACCAACACGTAAGAGGTGTGAGGAATATACACCTGTTTTTTTTTGTTGTTGTTTTTTAATTGATCTCAATTCTGACACAATATCTATTTTTCGAATCAAATATAAAACTGTTACCGCAAGGAGACGGACATCTGAGAAGCAGAATGACTTTGCTTTATACGTGTTGACCTAGCAGAAATACTAGCACATATGGAGATACAGTCTGGCTTAGCCCTGGCACAGCAGCTCTATATATTTTGGCATAGATTTGCAAAATGGAGAGCAAAATAATATGGTTTTAAACTAAAGGCATTGTATTGCTGTATGTGTTGGTTGATGATACAGGTACATGTTGGGTTCAGAAAGACACAATCCTGCTATCATGAGGCTCAGAAGGGCTGCTGATTCTATTCTAGCAATAAGCCTGCTGTACTAGTACGAGTCAGTCTGACTTCACTCTATATTGATGTCATATTCTTTTAGGCTGGCTTAATTTACACTGTCATAGGCCTGCAATATAAAATGTCAGACTGGCTTATCTGTGTACTGATGCAATAGGACTGCAATATAGAATACAAGCTGACTTGATTGCAGGCCTAAAGTATGAAGGCAAAGTTTGGCTCGTCTCTGTATTGATGGCATATGACAGTTATTATCATTGTTCCTAAACAGACGGACGAAAATTAATTGACCAAGGTCACAATGACATCGACGTGCTGTGAACATAATAATAATACATTGTAATAAGTAATGGCCAACAACTCAAGCCCATCCGAGGGCCCTTAGAATCGCTTTTCAGTTTTTGATCAGTCAATAACTTATAGTCGATGTAAGTGACCTTGACCAACTTGAAATAAATAATGGTCATCTAAAGCTCAAAAAACAAATCTGATTTATGAAGACATAAACGTCCTTTAGTTATTGATCAGATAATCATTTTAAACTTGTCTGCTTCGAAGAAAAAGTCGAGCTGTTATGATTGGTGCGTCATCGTTGTCGTACAAAAAACTTTAATGTACATGTAGGCCGGTTTTCAAACATTTTAAGTTATTAAGATGAAATTTGGGAGAAATTGTAGAAAGGGGATAATTCTGAGTTTTACTTTTTGGAGTTATGCCCCTTTTTGACTTGGAATTTTTATCAAAATTGGTTATCACCCTGAACAGACGCGCATTACCACTGCTTGCGGTGCTCTTATATTATCTTGTATTATCAATGCCATAGTGCCCTTGACCTACTGTTTATCATTTACAGGTTATAACCAGCCATATCATCTAATTTGCGGTCGGTGTAATTACCCGCCCCCCCCCACCCCCCCCCCCCCCCCATTCCACAAGACACGTGTTACAATTTTCCATACTGAACTTAAAATCAATAAAGCTTATGATCAGCCTCCACACCAAATCCGACGACTGTAAGCCGCATGTTCTTAATACAACAAGCATTTAGCTGTCAATGTCACAGTGACCTTGACCTAATTACCACAGGTTTAAACCTATATAGGGAGTGTTTGGGGTACTAGCATGATTTCCCAACTAAATCTAAGACTAATGGTTTCAAGAGTTTCTTTTGTTTTTGATCAAAGACGTTCGAACGACTGTGGAATATAATATGCTCTCAATACTTAGATGTGGAAAATAATTAATAATAAAGCACACTTTCAGAATTTCATTCTTTTTATTACTGTTGAGTATAAAATCAGATTTAATATATAAATATAGTAAGGTTTTGTCCTCCCAATATTACAATAAACATTCTGTACACGTGTCCGTACGTTCTACATACATACACAAAGCAAACAAAAGAAGTCAATAATACATAAAGGCAGGTTAGAAAAATGAAAAATTACCTAGGTGTTTCGCCACCCAAAAATTTTTTTTTAAAAAAATTGCTGACTCATCAATATCGCCCTTAACCTGCTGTGTTTTTGTAATGGATTCTCCCTGTATTGAATTTGGAACAGTCCATTTAAAGTTTCAGGGATTTCAGTAACAAAATACAACAAGAGCTGTCCGTAAGACAGCGCGCTCGACTTTTTTATTGCTTGCCAATAAAAAAAGTTTTTTGCAGTAAAAGGCAATACAAGAATCTCTGTATTTTTAAAGTGAACAATGGCCATGAGCATTAAGATATTTAGTGAAGAATTATTTTATTATGACATAATTTATGGTAAAGTGAACAAGTGGATAGGAATGAATTTTTTTAGATTTTTTAAGTTTTTTAGTGCTTGCCTATAATACAAAACATTGACAGTTAAGGGCCATAATTCAAATAAAATCTTTGACAGAATTACCTTCTCCTGGACATGTTTGGGAATCATGATTGTAAACAAGTATTCCAACTTTCAAATTAATATCTCAAACAGTTCAGTCAAAAAGTGGACTGGTACTAAAAACTTAACCAAGATTCTAAGTCGATAAAAGGCCTTAATTTTTAAAAACAAATCCTTGACAGAGTTACCTTCTCTTGCGTACAGATGGGGGTAATGATGTGAAATAGCATTAAAAGTTTCAAAGCAATATCTCAAAGGGTTAAGGCAATAAGTGGATTTTACCCATATTCAATGTATTTTCTAAGTCAAAAAGGGCATAATTCTGTCAAAAACCTTGACAGAGTTATGTCCTCTTGTCTGTTGATGAAGGTCGTGATGGTAAACAAGTATGGTCAGTTTCAAAGCAATACCTCCAATGGTTTTGAAATAAAGTGAGGTGGTACAAAAAACTTAACCAAGCTCAATACACTTTCTAAGTCAAAAAAGGGCCATAATTCTGTCAAAAACCTTGACAGAGTTATGTACTCTTGTCTGTAGATGGAGGTTATGATGGTGAACAAGTATGGTAAGTTTCAAAGCCATACTTGTAATACTTCTGAAATAAAGTGGGGTGGTACGAAAAACTTAACCAAGGTGTGACGCCGACGCCGACGCCGGGGCGAGTAGGATAGCTCCCCTTTTCATAGAAAAGTCGAGCTAAAAATTGTCCTACCAACAGTATAAAGCCTGGTTAATTAAACTGCGCGGAAAGCACAGGCTGGCCCGATTTGGAGTCCTATTTTTTTTAAACAGATCCTAAGCTGAAATGTTTAAGAGCAAATATTTAATGTTACCCTTGGATACCTTTAAGTTTGTAAGTTAAAAATGTGATAACAAAAAAATTTAATGTGACATGGTCGTTCTACTGCAAAACTTCTGCAAACATTACCTTCACTACCTATTCATTTTTGTTATTGTAGACCGTAATTGCAAAGCAAAACAAAAATATTAAACACAGTAAATTCCAACATAATGAGTAAAATACATAGAAGGTTTAAATTAACAGAGATAAAGTATTCCTAAATCACAATTTAATTAAACTTACACTAAACAAGAGTAAAATACTTTTATGACTATACTGGGTTTTTTTTTACTCAAATAGTGTGAAAAAACAAAACAGAAACAAAAAATCAAAACAAAACAAAAAAGAACTAAAGGTCTCAAAATACACTATTTGATCTAAAGATATAATTTGAGAAAATAACAGAACAAATCCAAAAACAAAGAGTAACAGTTAACTGTATTGCACTCTGAACACATTAAAACTTAACTATCTGGTCTATCTCATTCTTACCCTCTAGGCCACAATGTCAGAGTGGTTTTGGTTTGAATCCCACAAGAGACTTTAAACTCTTACATGTGAGGAAGTTGTTTAAATTATTTTAGAGATAGCTGGTAGTTGTACTCACTGGTGCCCATTTCTGCCTGAGTTCATGTATGGATTGTGGGTACCAGAGATTTTCCTTACATAAGTATATTGAACTGTAAAGTCATCTTATGATCCTGACAATGTTGGTGTGATTTAGGAACCAACCGAACAAAGAATGGGCACAATTTTTTAACACACTAATGTGAACCCAATTCATCTGGGTTTTTAAAAGTATGGTTTCATCAAATTTTTACTTACAGTTAAACCTGGGTAAAGCTACTTAAACTGAACTTCACTCCCACCCTGAATTATAATGTACAATTCTTTAACATTTCAATAACTTTCAAATGAAGAAAAGATACAAATTTAAAACAAAAAAATAATGAAGCAATGCTAATGACAAATGGAATGACTGGTATGTATGAGTTAAAATGTTTTGAGCAAATCGTGCTCTGATGGTCCATCTATATAATAATCACAAAAATCATAATAAAAGTTCAAAAAGCACATCAGTTAAACATCGCATGTTGTGGAATGTATTTGATAATGTTTGGTACTGGCTTTTCCTTACAATTATAATGTAAGACATAACTTTAAAAAAAATATGCTGACATTTCAAAACATGGTAAGTCTTTTCAAAACTTAAAGAAAAAAAAATACAGCGAATTAGGACTGAGAATTATATTAAATATAGCCCTGTGATTAAGGTAATGCTGGTGGATCCATTTTGAACAAGAAAATAATTACATTACAATTACTATAATTATTAAACAAACAATTATAAGTGATTTTATTGATAACTACCTTAAGTTTACTTTCAATACCAAAAAGTTCAGGAGGTACAAATTTCATATATATAGAGATATCATTTTTTAAATTTCATTTTTGAAAGACAAAATTTTACCAATGTTATAAAATTCTTCTTGTGGAGATGATTAGATGAAAATACAACTGCCACCTTACACTTTGCCAAACAGGAGTGAAATTTGCTTTTTAAGCCACCTCTAAACAGACTACACCTGAACGTATAAGCATTTTTTAGGCAGTCAGACAGACAGACATATAGATAGGCAGCAAAATTTTGTCATTCTCACATTAATAAAGCACCTTTTAAACAAAATAAACGTTCATACTGCATACTTGAATACATGAAAAACAATAACTGAAAATGAATATATTAACAAACATCACATTCTTTACTATCTATTAGCACTATTTCAAATGGAAGAAAAATCTATAGCATAATTTACAGACATAGTATCAAAGAACTTGAAATATTTACAGCAACAATTTATGCATGAATTCTGAGAATAAATTACAGTATGTGACACGAAACTAAAAGTATCAAAACACGTTTCTCTAAAGCTGCATTTTTAAGATGAGTCAAAATATTTTCAAAAAATCAAACCTAAGGAGAATATATCACAATGAAATTTACTCAGTTTGGGCTATTTATGTATGTTTAAAATGCATGTTACACTTTGCACATATATAGAATTTCCATGAATTTATATTTTCATCATGATATTATTAACATACTATAAAAGGGTAAAGCTCATTCTTTGCTCGTTTAAACATATAATTTGTAAAATAGCGAATGAACAAGGCTATCTTGAATATCATAGCTTGTATTTTCTATTTAGAGCATTTTCTGAATTTGTTATCAAAATAGGAAATACATTTACAATATGTAAGTATAGAGGCATGCAGTTTTAAATTTTGCTTAGTAACAGCACGGCTGTAATTAAAGGCCTGATGACAGATATCAAATTATATAAAAATTAAAAAAAAATACAAGCTCTTTTTTTAGAATTGTATGCTGATCAAAATTTGTAACATTTACCCTAAATTTCTCTAACTGTTAGTTTTAAACATGTTGCAAAAGTATATACCATCACTATTAATAGTGCAGCGTGACCTGGCTCCATTGTGTCGTCTGCTAACTTTCTCAGTCACTTTCATACAGAAGTCCATTAAACTGTTAAAGGAACTTTCCAAAAAAAATCAAACCAAGGCATATCATTAAACAAATTCAGCGGAGTTAAAGGCTTAAAGCTCTGTCATGTATGTACAAATTGTAAACATATTACTGTTTATATATACAATGAACAATTATCATAAACAGTGGATATATACAAGCACACAGGACGTTAACCAATCAAAAACTGACATTGTAAATAATTGCACTTATCGTCTTTATCGAAAACTCATTGTTCACAGAAATTTGTACAGCATCTCTCGTCACATATTTCATAACACTTTTTGTTACACTTATATATATACTAAAATTGTTCACTGGCCACTTATCTTATATTTTTGTACACCAGTATGCTTTTGTAGGGCAGTATATCTTATGTTAAAAAAAAAAAACAATATGACAAAGTAAGTACAACATTTTGGTCCAAAAATAATAATGAAGTAAAATAGATTTTAGAATTTTTTTCTAGCAAAAAAAATTAAATTTCACTGTGTTTAAAAAATATAGAATCTACATTTCAGGAAATACAGTCTCGAATTGAGCTGAATTGTAAAATCACAGAAATAAACTATACAAAATTTGATTTAGAAATAACAGGTAGAAGTAATATAAGTTGTTATATTGTAATTAAAAAAATGCTTGTACAGTGCAACCTTTGCAAAGCAACACCCTTTGGTAGATAAAAATTTAGGTTGTTGCCAAGATGTGTTACTGTAGCAGCTATAATCTATTGTGAAGTCTTTCTTCATAAATTTTGATTTTTTTGTTGGTTTTACTGCACAACAACACAGTATAGGTCATACGGTGCCGTAACAGGAAAGATAATTTTCGCCAACCTCGGTTGTAAAAAACTTACTTTATGAAAAATTACAAACTGTTGTTATAAAGAGGTAATTGATCTATACAAGTGGCCGTTCTACAGAGGTTACACTGTATACTAGTCTAAGGTCATCTGTAGTTATAAAATTAATAAAAATTCTATAAAATATCACTAAATATTGTATGCTTTGATAAAATATCTATATTTAGCACCATCTTATCGTTTTTCTATCTAATACTTGATATAAATTGGGCTACAAAATTTCATTTATAAACTTTGCTAAAAAATAATCTTATCATAAAAGAAACCGGGCTAAGAAAAGCACAAAAATATGAATTTTTACTTAATTTCTGAGTATATTTCTTGATCATCACTTGCATAATTGAACTTTCTGTTTAAAGTACCCCAGCAGATCTATGTAAGAATTTTCAAATTTTATGTTTTGAGGATTTTGGACCATAGTGGAGTTCCTTTTATATCATCATATCCAACAAAACATAGGCAAGCAATGAAATGATGACTACTTACTACTTTACTCTTCCAATAAGAATGCCGAAATTGGGAAATGAATTTTTGTCAAACTTGTATCACAATTTTTCATTCATATTCAGATAAAGCTTTCTTTACTGAAGTCTTGCTTAAGCATGGTAGGTAGCCTTATGTTAACAATAAGCCGAATAAATTCCTTTGCTTTTATCATGTACTTTTGCATACAAATATTTATCTTTTTTTCCCCCTATAATACATGTATTCTACATTCCGCAGAAAAACATCATTTCTTTCTATAAGTTTATGTAGAATAAGTATTACGAAAAAATGTAGAAAGTTTTAAATGCACAAATGTTGTTTTTTTATGATAAATGCTAGCTTCCATAATCCTGCGACGCCATTAATCTGTACTTCATACGGAGATTCCGTGCACGCACGTGAGAATTGATAATCTCAACAGTGTGATCTTTGGGAAACCAGCCCCGTTCACCATCTCGTAGTCTCTCCCCCTCGTAAATACCTGAAAGAACAAAGAGCATTTTACTATGTGTACAGATATACAAAAATGCATAATTACAAAGTAATATATCATCATCACCATAAAAAAATACATAAATAGTGAATACATATCATCAAATGATACATCCCCAATCCCTTTGAAAGATGTGTTAGGGTTTACGTCAAATCGCTATGGTTAAGCCAAAACCTTAATTTCCATTCCATGTAGAATTTGAACCCTGAGTCAAAATAAGCTTTTTAACTATTTGTTGTGTAAAAGGGAGGTAATCGATGAATAATTTATATAAAACATGAAAGCAGTTATTTGCCCTTGTAAGAGATTCTAAGATAGCAGCATGTTCCAGTGACCTGGTACTCGCTTTCACTTGGTCACATGTTAAAATTGGTGGAAAATATTTTTAAATTTTGATAGTAATTTGATCAATTTCTCTGGTAATTGGGATTATACTCTTGTAGACAGAAGTGAGGGATAATAAGGGATAATAAAAGTTTTACCATCTTCTAGTTTCTTGAATACATTTACAACATCAGACTCATCTAGGGTCAGTTCATCAGGCTCCTTTGCTATATATGGTTTAATACATTGTACTTGTGGACAATCTGTGATGTAGAAATTATAAATATTTATAGTATTAGTTACTATAATGTTACAAGAACTTACATACATGGTCAATGAGCAATAATATCCCAATCTATGTTGACATTCAAAGGAACTTAACATGCAAATTTGACTCCCAAAGAAAATATTTCAGTCTAAAGATAATGATGCCATTTAAACTTAGACAAGAAAAATTCAATTGAATCCTTTTGATGTAAAATATTTTTAAAAGACAATTGTGTTGCTGTATCATTTTAAACAACTTTATGAGCAGGACACATTTTCCTACTTGTTCTGCAGCAAATTCTACTCATAAATACTATGGGAAGTTGAGTTTTTAATCCCTAATTTCCTTTTGAAAAAATTAATTAAAGGCTTTCAATATTCATGAACTGTCTTGTGTTTGTGTGTTTCAATATAACTTCAAAACCATTAGCAGCCTATAATAACTTGATGGTCATATGGCCACTTTCCAGCTGAAGACCTACAGTTTCTCTTGGTGCATTACTTTTGACACAAACAGGCACCTGAATTAAACCTTCAAAGTTCCAGAGAGTAGCTGAATAACTGCCTCCCATAAAGAATCAAACTTCAAGAACTGTTTTGAACCAACAATGGTAATTGGCAAAGTGTTTAAAGTCAACGAACATGACTTCTTGGCAACAAAAAACCCTACTGATAGCATAGCATGGGCTTGGTGTGAAACAGTTGTAACTCTTTTGACATTTAGGAGTCTCGCAATAATTTCACATCAACATTACGATATGTTAGCCATTACTGGTAGCTAACATTTAAACTTTAACCTTTCATTATTCAGCAAGATAGACGGTGACAATGTTGTATTAGTCTTACCCCATTCTTCATATATTCTTTGATCATCTGTGACCTTGACCGGTGTAACAGCATCTACCCAACGTGCTCTGTCACTCCTACAAATACAACAACAACAATAACAGTGACATATAAATAACGCAGCAATTTATAACATTATCATAGCCTTCTAAAAGGACTGCAAAAAAATAGTTCTGAATGTGTATTTATTTTCACACTATTTAAATTTATTTTAACTACAACATAAGGAAGCATTTTAAATTCATGAACATGTTCTGCCATTTTAATCTTTTTGTTTTGTTAGAATGAAATTCTTCAATCCATATTATGGGTTCTGATATTATGTAGGAAAATAATGCATTGCGTTGTGATTTTTTTTACATATCAATGGGCACATGGACAGAAATTATGACAGGCAAATACTTAGTACATGTACTAGTAAGTACTAGTGTACTAGTACACTGTGCTGTAATTAAACCCAGGCAAATAATTTTGAAGTATACAAGTTTATCATTAAGATGATCACTTGATTAAGCAGATCTATTTGTAGTGATATTAAGCAATTATGACTGTATGAAATAAAATTTTCACAATGATGCCCCTTGTCATGAAAAAGTTAAAACAAGTGTTGAATAATGGGTAACGTTAACAGTTTTCCATGACAACACAAACAACTACAAGAGCAACAACCAAGGCAACAAAAGCGTTCATATTAACTAGACTTTGACTCTGACACAAGAAATTAACAAATTTGATATAAATAATTCAACTTACGTGGAATTACAAGCAAAGACCGTCTCCACCTGTTTTTTCTCATAGTTTTCTAGCATCACAAGTAGAAATAGGTATTTACAGCCACTTGGTACACCAAGGGGGAGAACTCTTGTGTTCTTTTCTGGATTGTCTATAAGTTCTATATGTAAGGTGTTACGTTGGCCGTGGTCAGTCACAATGTAACGCTCCCTGCCACATAAAATCATGAGATTAAAATTGACATTCTTTCAAATGATCAGCAGCTGCAAAATGGCAAAACTGGGGAAATTTTAAAAGAGCACTAAACTAATTTTGTATATACCAGGCCTTTATTTGACCTCTACCCAATGTCAAATACATGTGTAGGTATTTTTCCTGAATTACAAAGAATTACTCCATAATCAAAGCTGAATATTCAAATTTATTTCTTTGGTTGGCATATACCAATGTTTAACACAGTTTAAAGGTATGTTGTGCAATTGTTCCTACAAACAGTCTAATTCAAATGGTATCAAATAATCACATAATTACGAAAAATCACTCACCCTTTTTTCTTGGTAATTAGCATTATGTCATTAAATAGATAGATATGTAGCGTCTGTTTTCCGGCTTTAGCCTTGCCAAAAGGGAGACGACTAGCTTGATCATTTACAATCTTTGTTACCTCCCCTTGCTTCACCAGATAACGTGATGCAGATATGAGTGGTATCTGAGGAATTTCCTGAAACAGATTATAAACAGGACATTTATAGTCTGTTTCTAATATTGCATTTTTAAATTTGTTAAACTATCAGAAACTAAATTTTTCTTCATATTGATGAAAGTCAGAAATGTCTGTTAGGTTTTAACCCTTAAGCTGCTGAATTTTTTAATGGACTTGTCCAGCTTCCACTTTTGAAACTGTTCATTATCAATTTAATGGGATATCAAAAATGAAAATTTAAAGTTGGTCTGCCAACTGTGAGTATTGAGTCCTGTCAGTCTTTCCTGGTTTATACTTTCCGTGCCAACAGATTAAGAGTCAAGTCACACTTACACTATAGAGGACTTAATATGGCCACTTTCCAGTTATACTTCCTGGTACAGAGAGACAACTCGAGTGCCCCTATATGCATCATTTCAGAGTCAATCTGTGTAGAAGGTGTAACCTTCTGTAAGCTAGCTAGATAACTTTGTTCACATGAAACAGTCTGAAGTCTCTGACTGGATTTGAACCCACAGTTGTGAACAGCAAGAGATTTGAAATAAGCAACCTTAATCACTAAGCCATAATAAACATCAGATTAAATATATAACACATTGTCTAATACCCAGGTTATCTCCCCTACCACAATCACATACCTTATTGGCGGGAAAGTCTATTTGTTTAGCTATATGATACATCTGTTCCGTCTGCTGCATTTTCTTTGCACCATCATTACATTTCCTTACAATCTAAAAATAACATTATTATAATAATTATTTTCTTTATGATACAATATTATCATAATTACATTTTTTTTATCCATAATAAAATTACATTTCTTAACAATATCTGCATACAAAATTAATAAACATTAGGGAAGATTTTTTTTTAGCCTCAGTGACATTGACCTTGATCCAAGCAACCTGCAACCCCAATGATAGGTAGAGATTCAAACAAATTATCATCAAACTAAATATCTAATCAACAATGTATTAAATCAAAGAACACATTATAACAAATGGTAAGCTTTTTTGGTTTGAGGTTTTACATCACACAAACACGGTATAGGTCATTTGGCAAGTAGAACAACCAATGTTCTGTAAGCTGGCAAGCTAGCTTTCTCACAAAGTCGAAGATCCTTGTGCAGATTGAACCTACTGGGGTAAAAGACAAGAGGTTTGAAGTCAACGACCATAACCACTTGACCATGGACGCCCCTAAATGGTAAGCTAAGGTGATGGAAGGTGTGGTAGAAAAAATCTAAAACTGTAATTTATACTCGACCAAAAAATTCCACCGAGCATAGAAACATTACTACCAATGTATACTTACTTTGCTTTGAGCATTAAAGGCATTGATGGCCGATTTGTGTCTCTGTTTATCATTGACCGGGTCCAGTCTGTGACATATAGCATCAACTAGAAGTGGAAGACGTGTAATTCTCTGCATGGGTAATAGAAGAAAGGAAATCATCGGTAACCCTTGACAGTCTGGATTGCTTTCTAATCTCTTCAAGGCTTCTGAAAACTCTGGCTTCTTTCTGCATACGAAAATATAATAAATTAGTTACACTCCAAATAAATTATGAATATCTATAAGTGGTAACAGTATATTAAAATTCTAAAACTGTTAAACTTGTTTTCAAAATGACAGAAAAGGTCAATCAAAGTTCTATTTTTCATTATTTCCAACATATAGTTACATGTTTTGCAAAATATTATCTTTAATACAAGTTGCACAAAGCATTTAAAACATGATCAGGATCGGTTAAACCCAATTATCTCACTGTCAACATCAGGCTTGCATACAAGAACACCATGTACAACAAGACTACTGTTGCATGAACACAGGGCCTACATATGAGAACACCATGAACCACTAGACTACTGTTGCATTTACACATGGCCTACATATGAGAACACCATGTACCACTAGACTACTGTTGCATTAACACATGGCCTACATATGACAACACCATGAACCACTAGACTACTGTAGCATTTACACATGGCCTACATATTAGAACACCATGTACCACTAGATTACTGTTGCACAAACACATGGCCAAACAACAACTTCATGTACCACTATACTTCTGTTGAATGAACACAGAACCTGCAAACGAGGACACAAGCACCACTAGACTGACGTTGCATGGACACATGGCATGCATTTGAGAACACCATATACTACTACATGTAGACTACTGTTGCAGTATACATTTATAGGTAAGTAAACCAAAATAAACTTACCTTAAATCAGTGACAGCTCTGTCTTGGAATGCTTGGTTACTACAGTAATGAACATAACACTCGAAATACTTGGTGGTATGTTCAGTTATAATATCACAGACATCAGTTAATAGTACAGACTCCTTCCATCGTGACTCTAACGCTGATAAAAACCTATAAACAATTGAATACAACTTAAAAATTCACGCATAAAAACAAAAAAAGTTGACTTGATTCCTTTCCTCTATGTATGTATGTATGTAGTCTATGCTTAATGAGAGTCAATCCGCCTGCAAGGACACAAAATGCAGCTTTTGCTGTCGAGTACGTATCCCATGCATGTCACCAGTCATGCCCTTTAAGTGTTTATTTTGAAGCACAAAGTGGTGATAATTTACCTCCATGCAATTTTCACAGAGTATTAGCCAAAGATATGAGTTTTGAGCCAAAAGTAAGTCACTGACTGTATCACTGTGGTTTCCATATTAAGTACTAAAGCTGTATGCCTCCAGATGAGCTAAAATATTTCTAGAAAACGAAACTTGGGAAAAATGTACCAAGATTTTAAGAAAAGTAAAATGTTTCAAGATTCAAGTAATAATTTACATGTTATATAATGTGTAATGATTAACTTTGCAATATCTATCACCATATTAATTATTTTGTACTGCATGACTAACACAATAAGGGCTATTTTTGCATATTCTCCCCCTTTTTTGGTAATTTTCATAGATTTCAAGTGCTGTTTGCAATATGTTTAAATTACTTTCTTTGTTAACTTGAGAGTATTTTAATTTCTTAATACATTCTAAAAAATTACATGAAAATAAGCATGAATCTAGAGGCATGCTGCTTAAGACAGCCTTTTTATTGACCTTGATACCGAACTCTTTAAATGCTTAGGAGTCGTATATCCTGGACTGCCAATGTCATCAGTACCAGAGCCAGGATAGTGGACATTTCCATGTAGTCTTAACTGGCTCAGTAATGATGGCTTTTCAATTTTATCCAGTTGATATTGAAATTCTTCAATTCCTAAATCCAAAGGTGATTTTGTAACATTAAATTTTCGACTTTTTTGTAAACATTGTTCATCTTTAAGCATGACAAGAAAGAACTAAAAGGAACTACGATTCTGTCTTGACTGTCATTAAGCCAAAGCTAGTGGTTTGGACATAAGCTTGTGAATATCACTACCATCCATGAGCAAGCTCAATCAAATCCAGCCTGCAACATTTTCTGTGTTGACGTTTTGGGCGTTCTTTTAGGGATTCTGTTTTTCTCTATTTCATTCAAAAATTGTTTTTAATGTAAGAAATATCCATTTATCTTATTGTGTACATGTATAGTATCAACTTTAAACCGACCCCCGCCCACATTCTAAACATCAAAATACGTACCTTTCACTTGTATCTCTAATGGCACCAATATTGGAAAAGATCACATGACGTTCTTGCTTTGTGATGACACATTTATTTGACATGTCGGAACCTAACTCGTCGGACATAAGGAACACATTTATGAGAACGTTTAAACTCTTCAGATATGTAGCTTCTGAGGTGATGATTTCAAACATGGACTGAAATATTACCAAATGTGTATTAACGTTAACATGAAATATTGTACAATGATGTAATAACATATTTTGTAAGGTAACTAAAATAAAATTATGATAAAAATAAGAAAAACCCTATATTGATGTAACATTTTCCAAAACATGGTACATATTTGATCAAATGAGAACTTGCTTAAACAAAAACATACTGGACTGAAAATATAAATTGTTTGATTAAAAGTAAGGTTTTCCATTCCAAGAGACCGCAAATTTCAGTCTTTACCCTGCTGGTGGAAACAGAATTTACCCATGTAACCAGTACAGACAAAGTTCAGCTGTAACATCCTAACCACCTGCTCTGCATTATTTGCTATTCAGTCAGTACTTATAATAAAATTCTCCTAAAAAATAATGAATAATTTTGTCAAGACTGAACAATAGACAAGTCCATTTAAGATATTAATCAAGGTAAGGGTTATACAGCACTGATAATCCAGGAGAATTTAAATATATCCAGATTATTTGGGAAAAAACAATGTCTAACTTACCTCTTGTAACTTTTTCTCGTGAGGGGTTATTTTGTCCAACCAACCACTGTCTCTTACCTGATTAAAAAAAAACAACACATATTTCATACCAATCGTAATTATTGTATCACACATTAATATGAACAAAATAAAAATTTTATAAAACTAGTTCAATAATGATACCTGTGCTTTGATTGAACTGACTAAAATTACATTATGGCCACCATAAAAAATAACTACTGTTTCGAAACTATAACTTAATGACAATATAATTCGTATAAGAAAGCGCAGTCTAATGAAACACGATACTCTGCATACATATCTACCTCTGGCATTTCTGCCCACAAGGACCTCAGCACTGTGCCTTTCTTGCCAAACATTTCTAATGTAGAGATTTTCTTGGTCTTTGCGTCTTCCTCTGGTTTCTTTTCCATATCGAGACTTCCGCGACCAGAACTGTACTCCGATAGATCCTCGTACACGCTCTCTTTATCCCCATCATCGTCATAGTAACCTTCCTCATCTGTATAACATACAACAAAAAGCAGTTTTATATTTCTTACCATACATATATAGTGTATAGATAGTTTCTGATTTTTACAACAGTTACCTCCCTTGTTAAAAGTGACAGCCATTTTTAAGGTCAATATTCTATATCTTTCACAAAAATATGGGGAAAAAATCAATATTAACAGGCTAACAGCTGATATAGGTGAATTATTAAATTCTTTTTAATACATAAGAAGGAAAATATCATTATAGCACCAATATCTTTAAAAAAATTTACCAGTTTTCATAAAAAATTAGAATTATGAGAAATTTTTATCTTATTTAAGGCATATAATAATAAAAATGAAATTACCCTAAAAATGGCATCCAGGGGAGGTTATAATTGTTTAAAAACAACAACATTTTTATTGTTTAACAGTTAAGGTTTCATTTCAACAATGGACTGAAAACTGTAACAGCTGTCACCAGAGAACTCTCTTTAATTGTTTAAAGCCACTGAATTTTCTAGCAGAAATGAAAGTGATAACAAATTGTTGCCAAGTGGATAATGCATCAGACTAGTAATTTAAGGATTGCTGGCTGCATAGGTTCAAACCCTATGTGAAGCTTGCCATTGTTTACTTGGACAAGAAAGTTTACACTCAAGGCTAAAAAGTATACTGTTTAGTTCCAAGAATGAATTTGGTATTCAGTTTCCTACACAATAAATCTCTAATAAATTCTGTATTAACAATTATGTAAAATATTGAATAAATCTTTAAACTTGTGTACAACACAACCTTGTGATCGCATTTAATAATCACACTTTCTGTATAGAATAATAAATAGGTCTAGATAACTTAAGAGCTGTTTATAAGTTCTTGTGTGAAATCATGAATGCCTCTTCTTATAAATGACATGAATGTCAAGTGAGAATTATACATGATGAATCAGACTGTCAAAGGGTCTTAAACTTGTGATATTCCTATGTGTTAAGTATACCTGATTCATCGAAGCTGGAGTAGATAGCCTTTCTTTTGCTGGCACGGGTTATCTTTGCCTTGTTGTAGAACTGGTACAGGGACTCTGTCTCAAACTGGGACTTGTACCTGCCACCAGCAGTACCGTATACTTGGTCATCACTCTGTTTTAAATTAAACAAATTAAGCATTAGGTCAATGACAATATCTATTTGTTTCATTTACCTATAACAGTTAACTAATAAGTGTTCCTAGATTTCATTCAAACTTTTTTTTCTTCTCAATATATTGTTTGGGTTTTTTATTTGTTTGTTTTTGTTGGATTTTTTGTACTACGTGGATTATTTCAGGCAGAAACCTGGTTTTACTATGGTGACGTTCTGGATTCTAAGATTCCTGACAGAAGAAAGAGTCAAAAGTCTCAGTCAGCATGGTCAGGTTTCAAACCCCACAGCAATGAGAGTCCAGAGGTTTGAAGTAAAAAGCCTTAACCACTTGGCCATGGAAGGCTAAAAAATATTACTGGTATTTAATTTAAAGCAACAGCAATGATGAAAGTGCAGATGCTTAAAAACCTATATAAAACTGATTATAAAATACAGTAATAAGATTCACTAAACTTCAACAAGTTACAACTTTATTTTTTGTATAATTTCTATCTAGCATACATGTATAAGCTTATAATTATAGTGCTTTATAAAAGCATTTGAAATTATCATAGTAAGTCTGAAAGAAAGATTAAATAGTTAAAATATTGAGGCAGAGATGTTAATGATAAAAACATTTCTGATTATATTGTTAAAACAAAATTTTAAATAGTTAATCAGAAATAACACTTAATTATATTCATCTGACATCATAGAAATCAACCAATCACAATGCTAGATTTAATTCAAAGCACACTGCATATATAACACCATCATACCAATCAGTTATTTCATATAAATGTTGTGTACTTTCAAATTTAATCATAGTTTTTAGCTTTTAGCCGGTACTGGGACTGAAAGTGTCTACTTTGCCACCCAGAGCATAAAGCCACTTCAACCTGCAGATCCACGCAGTCTGACCTGGCTCTATAAGCTAGATACCATTATCACATGAAAGAATTTATAGTGCATTACAGGATTTGACTATGAATTATATTATGAATAAATAAGAAAAGTAGTTCTCACAAATTCAATTGACTGCCTATAAGAAAATTCAGTTCATTATAATTTTAAACATATAACTTTATTAAATATTAAACTACACGCTTGATAAATACTTCAAAACCAAATTCATAGAAATCTTGATAAATATCATAATAACTCCTTTATCATAATTACTTCCTAGACATCAGATTTTAACACTACAGAGAAATATCATATTTCACATAATGTTTAAATCCGGTTTTTAAAGCATTTTAAAGTATTTATGACATTAGGACATACACGTTAAAACACTTATTTGAAATACGACATTTTAGAGGTTATATTATAGTGTAATAAGCATTATCAATGCCTTACCACAACTAATAAATAGGAGAAAACAAATTAATACTTTAAATACTGTAATGTTAGAAACAATAGGGTTTTATAACTATTGAATAAGGATAGTACAGATTAACTTAGTTGTGGACAAATTTATAGAATTTTGAACATTTGACCTTGAATTCCATTTTAAAAGTCGAAGAAATTTAGGGGTCAAGGTCAAACTAAAATATATGTAACTATTATTCCTGTCCAGAGGTTTAAGCTGTGTGGCCGTATGAAGCAAATTGTCCACCGCAAGACGAATATAAACAAATACATTTAAACTTCTAGCTGTCAAATTGAGCTGCAACAGTTTCCACCCATTTGACCAGTTCAAACCAAGATTACCCAGCACACCTGGGCCGTCGAATCATGGTCTGCACTGTTCGCTATTTAGTCAGTACATACATATTTTGACAGTTTTACCTAGATTGAAAGATGGACAAGTCCATTTAAGATATTTAGCATGGTAAGGAGTTGTAACCTGACAAATTATACCTATCCATAAATATAGGAACATAAAAATATGGATGAAACAAAGAATTAACATTATTTCATATGGAGGTTGTCAAATATAATCAAATGGCATGAAAATTTGTACTAAAGTTTTTATTTTATTTGTTTACACTAAAAATTAAAGAAATTTGAATACTGAATTTCCAAATTCAAAACAAGCAGTTAAATTAACTGATTAATAAGATTAACTATTAAATACTTGGAGTTATAAATCAACAATGTATTTAGCACAAAACCATCACATCACCTTGTTAAAACATAAACAAGAGGGCCATGATGGCCCTAGATCGCTCACCTGACTTATCAAACTCATCCAAACAATTACCTAAGACAAGCATTCTGACCAAGTCTTATGACAGGTGAGTCAAAAATGTGACCACTACAGTGTTAACAAGGATTATCCATATTTGAGCAGTGCGACCTAGTTTTTTACCCAGGTGACACATATTCAAACTTGACCTAGAAATCATCAAAACAAACTTTCAGACCAATTTCCAGGATACTTGGATCAAAACAGTAGCAACTAGAGTGTTAACAAGATTTTTCTATTTTTTGCTCCGGTGACCTAGTTTCACATGCGATTTCGAACTCATCCAAGCAATTACCAAGACAAGCATCCTGACCAAGTTTGATGATAATTGAGTCGAAAATGTGACCACTAGAATGTTAACAAGGTTTTTCCATATTTGGGCGGTGTGACCTAGTTTTTCATCCAAGATGACCCATGTTCGATCTTGACTTAGAAGTCATCAAAACAAACTTTCTGACCAATTAACAGAATATTTGGATCACAACAGTAGCCACTAGAGTGTTAACATGATTTTTCTATTTTTAGCTCATGTGACCTAGTTTTTCATCCGAGATGACCCATGTTCAATTTATTCCCAGCAATGACATAGACAAGTTTCCTTACCAAGTTTGATGACAATTGAGTCAAAATTGTGACCACTAGAGTGTTAACAAGGTTTTTCTATTTTTAGCTCTTGTGACCTAGTTTTTCATCCAAGATGACATATGTTCGAACTCATCCGAGCTATCACCTAGACAAGCATCTTGATCAAGTTTGATGATGATTGATGCAAAAATGTGACCGCTAGAGTGTTAACAAGGTTTTTCTATTTTTAGCTCCGGTGACCTACTTTTTCATCCGAGATGACCCATGTTCAAACTCATCCGAGCTATCACCTAGACAAACATCCTGACAAAGTTTGATGATGATTGAGGCAAAATTGTGACCTCTAGAGTGTTAACATGGTTTTTCTATTTTTAGCTCCGGTGACCTACTTTTTCATCCGAGATGACCCATGTTCGAACTCATCCGAGCTATCACCTAGACAAGCATCTTGACCAAGTTTGATGATGATTGATGAAAAAATGTGACCGCTAGAGTGTTAACAAGGTTTTTCTATTTTTAGCTCCGGTGACCTACTTTTTCATCCGAGATGACCCATGTTCGAACTCATCTAATCTATCAACTAGATAAGCATCCTGACCAAGTTTGATGATGATTGATGCAACTAGAAATGTGTCATCATGCCACGGATGCCCCCGCATGCAGCCAAAATTTCAGATGTTATTATATTTAGTTCCAAATTTGTTTGCACAAATTATTGTTTTCATTTTAAGTTCAAAGCCCTTAAAACTTTTCAATGTTAACACAAACCATTTTCATACAATGTTCAAAGCACTGAAATTATTCAGTCTTAACCTTTTGAAAATAGCATATTTCATATTTGTAGCCAAAATAATGGCTACATACATTTCCACAAAAGTATGAGTGCTGAATCTGAATGTTCAAAATTTTTTCCAATATTCAAGAAAGATAAGTTTGTCCAAAATCATTGAACCACGACCAAATTCAAACTTAAACTGCCTATTCCTAAGATGTATCTATATTATTTTCAAAGTGAAAGGGACATAACTCTGCCAAAAAATCATCGAACCATGACCAAATTCCAACTTGACCTGCCCATTCATTTGACATATCCATATTTCAAATTTGAGTTGAATATGTAACACTGTTGGGTAGATAATGAACAGAAACTGTAAATTTCATATTTTTTTCAAAGTGAAAAGGGCATTACTCTGCCAAAAATTATTGAACCATCACCAAATTCGAACTTGACCTTGGCATTCCAAAAAAATATCCATATGTCAAATTTGAGTTGAATGTGTTGTACTGTTGGGGAGATAATAAACAGAAACTGAAAATTTCATATTATTTTCAAAGTAAAAGGAGCATAACTCTGCCAAAATCATCGAACCATGACCAAATTCAAACTTGACCTGTATTTTCTCATTACATATCCATATGTCAAATTTGAGTTGAATGTGTTGTACCGTTGGGGAGATAATGAACGGAAACTGAAAATTTCATATTATTTTCAAAGTAAAAGGGGCATAACTCTGCCAAAAATCATCAAATCATGACCAAATTCGAACTTGACCTGTATTTTCTCATGACATATCCATATGTCAAATTTGAGTTGAATGTGTTGTACGGTTGGGGAGATAATGAACGGAAACTGAAAATTTCATATTATTTTCAAAGTAAAAGGGGCATAACTCTGCCAAAAATCGTTGAACCATGACCAAATTCGAACTTGACCTGTATTTTCTCATGACATATCCATATGTCAAATTTGATTTGAATGTGTTGTACCGTTGGGGAGATAATGAACGGAAACTGAAAATTTCATATTATTTTCAAAGTAAAAGGGGCATAACTCTGCCAAAAATCATCGAACCATGACCAAATACGAACTTGACCTGTATTTTCTCATGACATATCCATATGTCAAATTTGAGTTGAATGTGTTGTACCGTTGGGGAGATAATGAACGGAAACTGAAAATTTCATATTATTTTCAAAGTAAAAGGGGCATAACTCTGCCAAAAATCATCGAACCATGACCAAATTCGAACTTGACCTGTATTTTCTCATGACATATCCATATGTCAAATTTGAGTTGAATATGTGCAACGGTTACTAAGATAATGAACGGAAACTGATGATGACGGAATGACAGAATGACGGAATGACGGAAGGACGGAATGACGGAAGGACGGAAGGACGGAACAGGGTAACACTATATGCCCCGGCCATTACATGGCGGGGGCATAAAAATGTGACCGCTAGAGTGTTAACAAGGTTTTTCTATTTTTAGCTCCTGTGACCTACTTTTTCATCCAAGATGACCCATGTTCGAACTCATCCAAGCTATCACCTAGACAAACATCCTGACCAAGTTTGATGATGATTCAGAGGCAAAAATGTGACCTCTAGAGTGTTAACAAGGTTTTTCTATTTTTAGCTCTTGTGACCTAGTTTCTCATCCGAGATGATCCATGTTCGAACTTATCCGAGCTATCAACTAGATAAGCATCCTGACCAAGTTTGATGATGATTGAGGCAAAAATGCGACCGCTAGAGTGTTAACAACTAAATGTGAACGGACGGACGACGGACAATCATCGATCCTAAAAGCTCACCCTGAGCATGCTCAGGTGAGCTAAAAAAAACACATTCAGGACAATTAGACAATACCCCATACTTCACAACCAGACATTTTTTAAACCCCATATTTCACAACCAGGCAAAAACCCATATTTTACAACTACATCAAAATGACACATACATTACATTTTGAATAATAGCTCACTTGCAACAACGTACAGTACAGATTCTGTGAAAATAATAAAAAAAATATACTTGTTATCAATAATTATCTTTCTCAAATATGATAATTATCTGCTACCTATACTAAGCTTTATGCCAGCAGATGAATATTAGCATAATTGTGTGGGTTTGGGTGCATGCAAGACCAAAAACAGTCAACCTCTGTAGATTGGATACAAATGAACTTCTTCTATCTATGTGCAAGTCATATTTAATAATCTTCGACTTACAAAAACCACATTAGTAATTTTTTTTTCCCATATTTGATTTTGTGATTTCTATCTTATATAGAAACTTTGTTTAAAAAAAAAAAAAAAAAAAAACAACCACAAAAAAACCCTTATTATCTTGATTATGTCCTAGTATGTTTAGCTATAAATGCACCAGCCAGTCGATTGTAAATGCATTCCTTTACCATAACTCCCATCCCAGGGAATAAAAGGGAATGTTTTACTTTTAGGACTTTTAAAATTGCTGCTTAAGGCTCTGCCCTGCCAGGACAGTAAAATTAAGGTAAAACCCTTATTGAATCTTTCACTGCAAATTAGACAATTATCCCAAACTATTTAGATGCCAACATAGAGTCACTGCAGTATAATGACCCTGCAGGGAATGGATATGGAGAAAGTAAAAACTTGACTCATATCCCCAAGTATAGCCCAAGGTCTCACAACAGACTTGCCCATCATCATATGTATACATCAGCATTTTGTCATAAAATAATGATCCAATCTACAGAGATTAAACGTGACACTAGCAAACACAAGCAGCACATGTAAACATGATTTTTATTCTCACTTCATTACAGGTTGGCGGCTGACAATACATTCCTTGCTCCTTCAAATTTTCCTTTAACTCGGAGCGCCTTACAAAGGCACCTGATGACTATAATACAGAAATGAAAAGATCCAAAACTGAAAATACCTGTCTACCTAATATAATATATACAACACCATTACATTAAAAATCCTAACATAAATTACACAATTTTACTACAAAACAGAGGAAAAATTATTCCTGTCACATGACATTGCTCGTTTTTAATGTATTCTAATCATTATGATCTGTTTCTTTCTATTTCACACATTATCATAGAACTTGATGTCACAGCCAATGGGTGATATCATTTTACTAATGGCATATGCAAGCAATGATTTTTCCGCCTCTTGCAAAATTTTTGGCATGTTTTTATTTGCTTTATAACATCATGTGATCAAAGGAGTCTTACATTTTTGTCATTCTCTATTCTAATTTCATGCAAAGATATTTTCCCTGTAACTAGAGACACAACAATAACAATAGAAGTGACTTTCATATATCAGAAATTCAATGCTTTTTGCATTTTCATTCATTTACAGCTTTAAGCAAAATGTATCTGCAATAAAAATACCAACATGCTTTTAAACTGAAATAAAATTAATGATGAATATGGTAGTGATGATGATAGTGGTAGTGATATTGATGGTTGTAATGATAATGATGGTAGTGGTGATGATGCTGATGATAATGGTGGTGATGATGATGCTGATTATGATGATGATGGAAGTGGTGATGATGGTGTTGGTGGTGATGATGATAAAAGTGATGATGATAGTGATGATGATGGTACTGGTGATGAAGGTGGTGATGATGATGGTTGTAGTGATGATATGGGTGGTGATGATGATGATAATGGTAGTGATGATGTTGTTGTGATGATTATGATGATGGTAGTGGAGATGATAATGCTGATGATGGTGGTGATGATGATGATGGTAGTGATGATGATGAAAGTAATAGTGGTGATGATGATGATGGTAGTGGTGATGATAATGATAGTGGTGGTGGTTATGATGTTAATGGTAAAGATAATCATATAAATGATTTAATAGTAGTGGTGATAAAGATGATGATGGTGTTGATGATGTGGTTGTTGATGATGATAAAGGTGATTATGATGTTGATGATAATGGCGGGGATGACATTGATGATAATAAAAAATAATAAAGATAATAGCAGTCAAGGAAATAAACAAAATTAATCAATTCAAATTTTAACCATGCAGATTTTCATTTTATGTCAAACAACTTACCAGGTCAATATAAATGCCGTCCTCGTCGTACTTGGTTACTAACTTGAGACCAACATCTTCATCTTGTCCACCTTTCTTTTTATTGACTTCTGGTACTGTGGCTAGGTCATGTGGTTTAATGTAAGCAGATGACACAGGTCTTTTTTCTAACTCTTTCCTATAACAGTAGCAAAAATAATGGTTTTAACATAAAATACAGTGTAAAAAGATTCTTTAGCTATTTTATAACAATAAACATCAAAATGAAAAGTAACTGGACAAAAAACTAATTTCTACCTTAGATATAATGTTTCATCCTTTTCCGTCTCTCTTATTTTATAATCATGTATATATTCTTACCAAATGTTGCTTTTCATTAAAACAATATCTCCAATTTTTTGTTGTTCTTAAATTCCCTTTTTATTTCTATTCACATTAAAAAGAAAAACTTCTGTATTTCGTACTAAGAACTAAAATATCTTTTTCCATTAAACATATATGACTTTACTGGCAGATATTCTGCGAAAAAGACTGAAACCCTGACATCACTTTCATATCAAAACAAAGTCATAAAATTATTTATTTATAAAAATATCATTTTCCACAATTGCATGCTGAGCAATGAGCAGTTGTAATATGATACTTATGACGGTCATAAATTCCCAGAAGAATATATGACAGGGAAGTAACCCATGTACAGGTTTAAGATAGGTAAATCCACATTTAAAGACAGATGCTACACCTTGACTCATTGCTTTTTAACATACCAATACTTGTTGATCTCTATAAATATTCTTAAAATTACATTATCTCAAAACATTAAAGCTGCACACCTGCAGATTATTAAAAGAAATTTTATTTCTTTACAAGTGTGAAACATAAATGGTAAAATATGCACTATGTACAATGTAATATTACACAGGTGTGGAACTTTATGGCACAATTGAATATCATGTACAATGTACATGTATTATGACATAGTTTTAAAACTTAATGGCGTAAATTTAATGGCAGAATCAGCACTATGTAATCTAACATAGGTGTGAAACTTATGACAGAACTGGCACTATGTATCATTACACAGGTGTGAAACTGATGGCAGAACCTGCTCTATGTAATATTACACAGGTGTGAAACTTATGACAGAATTGGCACTATGTATCATTTCCACAGGTGTGAAAATTATGACAGAATCTACACTATGTATCATTTACACAAGTGTGAAACAAATGGCAAAATCTGCACTATGTATTATTTCCCCAGGTGTGAAACTAATGGCAGAACCTGTCTTATATATTATTACAAAGGTGTGAAACTAATGGCAAAAACTGCACTATGTAACATTTCTGCAGGTGCGAAACTAATGGCAGAACCGTTACTATATATTATTACAAAGGTGTGAAACTAATGGCAGACTCTGCACTATGTATTAGGTGTGAAACTAATGGCAAAAATAAAAGCACTATGTACATGTATAACTAAACACTGGTATTGAACTCATGGCAAAACCAACAGTGTGTAACAATATTACACAGTTCTAAAACAAATGACTAAGTACGCAGTATATCATTTCTCATATTCGCACAGTTTACAAAAAGCAAAGCCCCTTCCCATATGATACATAATTGTATATAATGTATAAATATGAAATAATTTTTATCTTAAATCAAATTTTCTGGTCTATTTTATACAGTGTGATGTTTCTATACCCTTTTCCATCATCTTTATATGAATACTAGAATCACGTAAATAGTGTTGCACACGTACTGTCCGAGCAATACCGGTGTCCTGTCAAACTTTTTAGCTGAACTCTTAGGAGGATGCAAAAAGGATTTCTTTGGAGCTACCTGTTTTCTAAACATAAAATTCACAAACTCAGAAGCTAAATTTTCTAATAGTCTTGCCTGATAAGGTAAAGGTCTTTCATAAGATATTTATAGTAATACAATAATAGATTTGTTGCAATGATGACATAACCTAAATAACAATAAACATACGGTAGCAAAATCAATTGTCCTTATTGCCCAGGCTGTTCCATCCACCAGCCTGTACAGGTTGTCCCACCTACATCCTGTACAGACAAGTTGAAATTTTCAAGAACTTACTATATAAATATCATACAGACAAGTTAAGAAATGCTTCAGATAAAAACGGGCAAGTAAGTCAAAAGGAGATTTTTCAAGATCTGCATATGTGTTTAATAACTAGTGTTTGCTCCTTTATAATCTAGTGATTAATTTATACTGTACTTATGATTTTTTATGATTCTTGTGTTAACTAGAACTATCGCTGAATGCGATTCATACCCCCACCAATGTCCTTGACAGAAGACCACTTGGAAAGGTGGTTAAGGGAATAACTTATGTGGCACAAATACATAAAAAGAAATTATCTCTGGTGAAAAAAAGACTAACTGTACAGGTAATAGTATAAATATATATTATCAAATCATGTTCGAAACAGTTACAAATAACCTTTCATTTTCCCAATGTATTAAACATTTTATTTATAAGTCAATTTTTGACCTTCAAGTGTGACCTTGACCTTAATCTGACACAAGGGTAAGATTGGTTTTGCACATCACCCAGTTTGGTTGAACATTTGAGTAAAGTTTGAAGAAAATCCTTCCATTAGTATAGAATTTATAGAGTAGACACAATATATTGTCTAGTATTGGTTGTACGTAAATTTGAAGACTTAAAAAGGGGCATAACTTTGTCCAAATTCAATACAGAGTAATGAAACTTGACCTGCATATCTTATTTGCCACACCTCATATATCTTTTAAGTTTCAAGCAAATGCCTGCGTTAGTTTCAGAATTATTCAAGTACATGTTAAAATTTAAGAACATTTTCTAAGTCAATTTTTGACTTTCAAGTGTGACCTTGACCTTTAGCTGGCACAAAGGTGACATGGATTCTGCACATAACCTTGTTGAGGTGAAAATTTGAGTAAAGATTGAAGAAAATTCTTCCATTAGTATTGGATTTATAGAGCGGACACAACATTTTGTCTAATATTTGATTGTATGTAAATTTGAAGACTTAAAAAGGGGCATAACTTTGTTAAAATGCAATACAGAGTTATGAAACTTAAACAAACAGCATATCGGAATTGTGACCCTTCAAAAATATTTTAAGTTTCAAGCAATACCTTTTCTAAATTTAAAAATATTCAAATAAATGTTAAAATTTAAGAATATTTTCTAAGTCAATTTTTGACCTTCAAGTGTGACCTTGACCTTAAGCCAGCAAAAGAGTGACATAAGTTCTGCACATCCCCTTGTTGAGATGAACATTTGAACCAAGATTGAAGAAAATCTTTCAACTAGTGTAGGACTTACAGAGCAGACATGACATACTGTGTAATATTAGATTGTTTGATATTTGACCTTCAATTGTGAAATTGACCTTGAGCTGACACATGGGCAACATGGGTTCTGCACATCCCCTTGTTGAGATAAACATTTGAGCCAAGATTGAAGAAAATCTTTCAACTAATGTAGGACTTACAGAGCGGACATGACAAACTGTGTAATATTAGATTGTTTGATATTTGACCTTCAATTGTGACCTTGACCTTGAGCTGACACATGGGCGACATGGGTTCTGCACATCCCCTTGTTGAGGTGAATATTTGAGCCAAGTTTGAAGAAAATCTTTCAAGTAGTGTAGGACTTACAGAGCGGACACAACATACTGTGTAATATTTGATCGTTTGATATTTGACCTTCAATTGTGACCTTGACCTTGAGCTGGTTCATGGGCAACATGGGTTCTGCACATCCCCTTGTTGAGGTGAACATTTGAGCCAAGTTTGAAGAAAATCTTTCAAGTAGTGTAGGACTTACAGAGCGGACATGACATACTGTGTAATATTTAATTGTTTGATATTTGACCTACAATTGTGACCTTGACCTTGAGCTGACACATGGGCAACATGGGTTCTGCACATCCCCTGGTTGAGGTGAACATTTGAGCCAAGTTTGAAGAAAATCTTTCAAGTAGTGTAGGACTTACAGAGCGGACATGACATACTGTGTAATATTAGATTGTTTGATATTTGACCTACAATTGTGACCTTGACCTTGAGCTGACACATGGGCGACATGGGTTCTGCACATCCCCTTGTTGAGGTGAACATTTGAGCCAAGTTTGAAGAAAATCTTTCAAGTAGTGTAGGACTTACAGAGCGGACACAACATACTGTGTAATATTTGATGGTGTTTGATATTTGACCTTCAATTGTGACCTTGACCTTGAGCTGACACATGGGCAATATGGGTTCTGCACATCCCCTTGTTGAGGTGAACATTTGAGCCAAGTTTGAAGAAAATCCTTCAATTGGTATAGGAGTTATAGAGCGGACACGAAAATGGAGACGGACCGACCGACCGACCGACGGACGGACCGACGCGACAAAGCGAATCCATTATAGCCCCCCCCACATTTTGTGGTGGGGGTATAATTATAAATGAAGAAATAATCCTTAAAATGTCATGTCAATTCAAAAATAGTTCTTTGTTTTATTTTAGTATTATGGCTTATAATCTCAAACAGCTTCCTGACACAAGAGCATTAAATTCAAAAGATTAATTCATTTAACACATGCTGTCAATAATTTTTAATCCATTCTGAATATTAGTGCTAAGTGGTACATAGAAAAACAAGGCATGTTACATAAGGACCCAATGCCAAAAAGGAGGGTTGACGGCATGGTGACTTTGACCTTTACCACCACGTGACCTCTAATGGTAAAAGTCAAAGTTTTGTGACAGACAGACAGTGCAAAAATGATATGGCATTAAAATTCAACTGAAATGGTTAGAATCTATATAAACATTCAAAAATCCAACACAGCAAATGGTTATATGACATTTATATAATTCTATATAATATATTTCTAAAAATTTCAAACAAACATAAAAAAAACGTTACAGAGTTAATTAACTTAGAAAGAATCAGGAAAAAACATAACAAGACGAAAAAATAAAGCTTTACAGGATAAAATGTTAGAATCTACTTTATATAATGTTTATTCATTATATTAGATCACACAAGATTATTTATTACGAGATAAAAACTACGCCTTGAGATATGGAGTTCATGTTTCAAGTCATTAATATGACCTTTTAAACCTGTAAACATGACCTTTTAACCTTTAATCAATATGTCAACATTCATTTTGCCACCAGTAAGACAGCAACTTTGTTGATAGATTAAAAAATCAGTTAGCCTTTAACCTATTCAAATCTGCAAAAGTACTTGCCAAACTTCCCGTTCTTGAAACAGTCCATTATCAATTTTTGGGATATCAAGATGAAAATTTTAAGTAGGTCACTCAATAGTATTAAGCTGGGTCATACTGCCTGGATGTACAGGCTGACCTTGTTCTATACTTGTATCAAAGGTCATTTATGTTTGGGTCTAAGCTAGTAAGTGTCACTAAAGCCTGTGGTAGGCATTACAATACATTGCAAGCATACTAATTGAACTAAATATTGATTACAAATTAAAAACTAATTTCTTGAATACTGTCTTGGCAAATGTTTTCAACATTAACAAGGCAATATTTTGATAGAAAGCAATTTTGAGGTTGGCACTGTTTTGATAAGCATTACCTTAAGTATTATGGCATTATAAGTTTTCAAGGATGGAATAATATAAGTTTTGACTAGCACTATTTTGAAGATGACATAATCTTGACAAGATTTTGATTTCATATTACACTTACATTTAACTGAAAACATGAATCTACAAATTTGAATACAATCTGTATCAGTCTGTTTATAAAGATTCTGGAATAAGTAATAAGCATTGCATCAGCAGAAAATGTATCATTCTCTGGAATAATGAAACATTTTGTGAGTAGCACTGCAGTCTTATAATGATCATATATAACTGTATATAAATAACTGTATAATTATAAATAGATTTAAAATTCAATGTAAAGATAATTGATACTTGTATAATATAAACAGTATTGCATATAAAGAAAAGAATAGTCTGCAATGGCTATTGAAAGAAAAGGCATGAGGTGGGTGGGCTTAAGGAATGGAGTTTTTTTTATAAAAAATCTCTTATAAGGTCATATTATATATATAGACAAGATTCCAGATTTGATCAATAAATGTATCCAGGCACAAGTGGGTTCACCATTCTCCGAGGTAGAACAACCACCCTTCTATAGGCTATATGGATAAGTTCGTATAAAAAACCCACAATTTTTAGTCCCTATTAGGATTCAAACCCATAGAAGTATACCGCTTGATGTCTCAGCCATACAGGCTCCTTACAAGAAAAGGTTATAAAAGAGAAGTATGGGACCTTAAAAAGGATCAGGCCTTGAGGTTATAAAACTTTTTTTCTGAGTTCTGTCTCAAATCTCAAGATTATCATTGGTCAGTACAGTCATTCTGTGGCAGTTTTTGACCAATCAAATACCTGAGATCCGAGTTTGAACTCAGAGACTGAATCATTACAACCTCGGACCCTGAAAACAAGACAGTTTAGAAGAAAGGACAAGATTTACAAAGAATTAGAATGGCAAAGAAGTTCCATATTCCAAGGCAATAGTTTCCAGTTAGAAGCTGAGCAGTTAATAGTTCTTTTTTTTCAATATAAAAAGCCATTTTATAATATACCTCCCAGTTAAACCAGTCCTGAAATTGTCACCATTGTCATATAATTATAAAACATGGCAATATTGTTATAGCACAAGAAATTGACAAACTCAACAGAGCATGAAAACACAAAATGATGATAAAAAACGTTTATATGAATTTACATTTATCAGCACAAAGATACACTTGTCACTTTCATACAAAACATATCTTGTTAAGTGTAAGCTAAATTTAGCATCAAATTCCCCCTTATCATCTGAACAAACTAAAATAAAGTTGCTTATAATTCAATCCGCTTTTTTTTGGGGGGGATGCGATAATTGTCACTCTCTCATTTTCGTATCAAATATGCTCACTTTCAAATTACTTCCCTTTAACATAGGTCAATATAAATTGTTTCCCTTTAACATGGGTCAAAATAAGCTCTAGCCAACAGCAAAGACACAGCAAAATTTCTTTCGGACTTCTAAAATTTCTCTATGTATAGGATAACTTGCCCGAGTTATTCGTAACTTTGAATCCTAATTTAAACTACTTACTTGAAAAAAAAAATCTAGCTTTCTTATAAGCAACTCATCACAGTAATATTTATTCATTTTAAATTTGTACCCAAGATTTTTTTTTTCTCTCGAGATATAATTCAAAGCTTCATTAAACATTACCATACAAAATTAATGCTTTTCAACCACCTTAAAGCGTAATCATAACTGAACAAAACACCTACCCGTAACACCTCTAAAATGAACACTTAATTAACCCAAACCAAAACAAGCATTAATTTCATATGCAACAGAAAAATATAACAATTATATAAAACATTAAAGCAGAACTGAAATACAATTAAATATGTACATATAAAACTATTTCCTGCAGCCACTGAACAAATGAGCCGCGTCATGACAAAACCAACATAATGGATTTGCGACCAGCATGGATCCAGACCAGCCTGCGCATCCGCGCAGTCTGATCAGGATCCATCCTGTTCACTATCAGTTTCTCTAATTGTTATAGGGTTTGTAAGCGAACAGCATGGATCCTGTTCAGACTGCGCGGATGCGCAGGCTGGTCTGGATCCATGCTGGTCGCAAACGCACTATGTTGGTTTTGTCGTGATGCGGCTCAAATCTATTTATCACCCAACAAAATATATTTACATATTTAAAAGCATCATGTATGTATGAATAAATTCAACATTTATCTAAATAGGTTCAAATGTATTCAAACGTTAAACATAATTCATTCAATGTATTAAATTCTTAGAAGTATAGAAATTAAACACAAGAAAATTGATAATCAAGATGAATTCTTTAAAGATGCTATTTTGAGACGGGTGTCTAAAAAGAATGTTGCAAAACTAATACAGGAAATGTAGCAAAAAATTATTTTCACCCATAGTGACCTTGAACCTTACAAATTTCAACACGGATCAAAAGGTAAAGGTCGGAATTATACATGTATACCATTTATCTAAAATATCAGTTAAAGAATAAATGCTCTATAAAGAAAAGTAGGAAATTCTATTTTTTGAGAAATATTTGAAAGCATATAACTGATGGAAATATATGGGTAACTAACTAACTTTATCTCCTGTGTTAAAAATGGGGAAAAAAGACTATCTTCCAAACAGCATAATTGTTAAGAATGTATATAGTAAATATATATATTATGATACCTGATTTCATCTGCTAGTGAATAGTTAGTGTCAGGTACAGGACCATCTTCAACTTCTATATAGCTATCTTCTGTAAATAATATAATACAAAAATTATTAACGTGTCTTACTTTATTTTCCAAGTCTTAACCCCTTGTTCAATTTGTTCAAACCTTTGCTATATATATCTTAATACTTAACCCTTAATCTGCTGGAACCAAAAGTGATCAGTCTTTGCCACCAGTATAGAGCCAGGCCAGCCTGAACATCCATGCAGTCTGACCAGGCCCTATACTGATGGCAGCTCAATTTTTGTATTTTGATATTGAAATGAGCTGTGTCATGACAAAAACAACATAATGGGTTTGCGACCAGCATGGATCCAGACCAGCCTGCGCATCCGTGCAGTCTGATCAGGATCCATGCTGTTCCCTTACCAACCCTATTACAAGTAGAGAAACTGATAGGGAACAGCATGGATCCTGATCAGACTGCGTGGATGTGCAAGCTGGTCTCGATCCATGCTGGTCGCAAACCCATTATGTTGGTTTTGTCGTGACGCGGCTCAAATCCCTTGACTTTTGAATGGACTGTTTCAAAACTCATCAGCCGGAAAGATCATTATAGAAATATAACAGGCTAAGGGTTAAATTTGGTAATCTGAAAGTGAGACCACTAACTTTCATATATGACATTGCTTGTTTTCAATGTTAGAATTAAAATCATTACATTTACATAACATATTCTGAACATTTAAACCATCATGATGACAACAACCTTTTGTAAAGTCAAGGCAACTGAAAATTAGGCATCAAACCACAATTTTTCCTCTCTTTTTAGTTCGGATGCAAGTCAACTTTTCAGCTTTAGTTGAGGCAATTGAAATTAAAAAATTTATAATACTAATAACAGTACAATGAAAATCATCTATATAAATTATACATAAAATGACAACTCACGGCTGGAACGTGGGGATTTTGTTGGTCTCGGTGGCGCAGGTTTCATATATTCTCCAACGTCAACATAACTATCAGCTGAATAATTAAATATTTTTACAATAATAACCATTGTTATTTCTTAAACGGAAGACACTTACCTGTTTGGGTTTTTAGCTTGCATTTTGCATACAAAACTCAAAGTCAAGGTAAACTGCCAAATGAAAATAGTTTTTTGTTTGGTTTAACAACGAAACAACACAATTTAGGTCATATGGCGCCAAAACAGAAAAAAAATTTTGGCTAACGCTGGACATTAACAACATTAAGCAACACCATGGGTCAAAACCATCTCAACTGCTGGAGCTAAGAGGTAGAGCATTAAATTTTTAATATTCCAGTAAATGTAACCCATTTAGTCACCTCTTACGATCACGCAGGGATAAACTGCGGCTGCAATTCTTATGCCTCAACACTTAAAGGAAGGCCCCAGCCACAAGGGGGATGATAAATAGTGGACCCTGTAGTAAGATTTTCTAAGATAAAATTTGTTTGGAAGAGAACCTTATTCACTTTTTAAACCTACTGTATTGTCAAATATTAGTGTACATGTACTTTGTACAAATTATACTTACTACTTTATTTCAATTTAAGATTAATCTGTACAACATAAAAAATCTATTTCAATATATTACAGATATCTGAGTATTGCCTAAGTTTCCTTAACAAAATTGAAAACTGGTTAAATTGTGCCTTAAATAAACACATTCCTAATCTGTATGATACATAATCGTAAGGACACAAAAAAGGAGGTACTTTACACTTGACCCTAGTTACAAGGAGTTTCAAGAACGCTCTTATCACCATATTAACATTCAAGTTATTATTCTATGCAGATAATACAGTGTATAACCTGCATTCTATTGTAAATCACAAAAAATATAACTGTTTGGGTTGATTATTTGTCTTTTTGGTATTTTCTTTATTTTTTTACAAGTGAAAGATAATAAATCCCTTATACCTTACAGTAAATGCAATCAAATAGGTTTATCAATCCTTGTATCCCTTTGGGTCAATTGTATGTAATTTGTCTTTTTCACAATTTTTACTATGAATCAAAGAAAATTTACCCCCCTTTACCATAAATGAATATGTATACAACTTTGTGTTGAAAACGTATTTTTTTTTCTTCAAATTTTATTTCAGAATCAGTGATATTTTTATCCTGTTTAATGACATTAAAATAATTAAACCCCATTTTCATTACTATATTAGTGTCTCATTGAGAATCATCATGTAAATCTAGTAAGTGCTGGCTGATTAGCCAGTACCTTATTAGTTGAGTAATCCAATCAGTGTGATTAGAATTTAGTTCATATATTTCTGTTCAATAGAAATGAAAACATATTAAAGATGTAACAATACGTACTGCTAATTGACTGTGCGAAATGTGGTTTCTTGCCTGTAGATACAGGTCGTTGAGGGAGAGGCGGGGCATCACCTGGTGAAGGCGTCGTCGACTCTGGGCTAGGTGTCTGATCTATATATGGGATCTCTGGAGACTTGGGGGCGTTGTGCATCTTCTGTCCATGAAGATAACTATCTTTGCCAGTATTCCAGTTACCCTTCCTACAGTCAAAGTATGTGTAAATTATTCAAACAATTATTCAAGTTATTTATACATCAAAAGGTATTATTTATAATTATTATTTATTCTTGAGTGATTAATTGAAATTTTGCCATGTTATTCATGTCTTCAATTACAGAATTTGTCCAGATAGAGCTCTTAAAAAGTTTTAAGAATAATGCCCCTTGTCTTACAAGTTCTGCACCTTGTCATGACAGTATTCCAGGTTTTGTCTTCATACCTTTAAACAATTTTGAATAATGGGCTACATTAAAATTTGTGCACAACAATGACACAGCAAGTTAGTAATAGCTTGACTTTTTCTTCAAAACTAACAAACTAAAAAAATGCTTTGAAAATCTTAAAGCTGCATGTCTCCAGATGAGCCAAAATATTTCAAGAAAATCAACATTGAGAAAAATGTACTAAATTTTAAGAAAGGTAAAACAAGTTATATTTTACATGATTGTTATGTGCGGTTTAAGACTGATTTTGCAGTATTTTATCACCATATTTCTACTACATTACTATCGCAGTAATTAGGGCTGTTTTTGCATATTTTGACCACTTTTTTGGTAATTTTCTTGGATTGTAAGTGCTGATTGCAATATGTAAATTACTATTTTTGTTCACATACACAATATTTGACTTTCAAATACATTTTTAAAATTTTCATGAAAATAAACATGAATCTGGAGGCGTGCTGCTTAAATGTTGGTATCAATAAATTTCTAATATATGTATCACTCATTGACAATCAAATTCATAAAAACCTACCCTCCAGGTTTGACAGGAACTACAACATTAAGGTCCAGATTGTTGGATATTCTATTACGAGGTGGTAGCGGTGGATCCGACTTACTTTCTAAACTCGTACTACTAAGTCTGTTATTCAAATATTCCGGCTGATTAGCACTTAAACGACTCGGCACTTCCACTGTATTATTTAATTTTGTCACTTCACTACCACTGTTAACTCTGTATAATCCACTCTGTCGAGGGGGAAGTGGTGGTGGGGTACCTAGACCGGAACGTAACTGTTCCGGGTCGATATCGGTGTCAGTTCCTTCACTATCACAAACCGGATCATCTTCCTTACTCAATGCTTCTAGATTTGTCCCTGAACTAGATTTCGTCTTTTTCAAATTTTTAAACTTATCACCTAAGGTACTCATGATTCCAGCTGATTGTGTTGCCCCGGCAACAGTTTGTCCACTTGCCTTACCTACAGTTCCACTCTTAGCATACAGTTTTTTAAATTTTCCTTTAAACCCTTTTGTTGCTTTTTCGTCCTTAGTTTTCTTTTTCTTACTATTTTGTATTCGGGCTGGTGGTAATTCCGGTGGAGATTCCTGATCGATACTGTCGGACTCGCTCACTGCTTGATCTTCGTTTGTGTCATGATCGACATGTTCATAAATACCGCTACTGTTACTGCTATCAGAATCGCTGTCTATATCACCTTCAGTACCAGTCTGTAAATAACAATACTTTCATAATGAAAGTCTTATACGAGTAGTATGTTAAATTTATGATTTCTTTGCTAAAATAAGTTAACACATTCACCAGGTAAATTGTCAATCTTTTTTAACAGGGTCTTCCAAATAGAAAGACCCTGTTGTAAGTAACATTAACAGTGTAAAATGCGATAATAATGACTTAACAATATCACTGAAGTTATGGAAGACTACAGGTGCACTGTTTGTACATTATTTCGGACAGGATCAAAGATAAAAGTAGAAATAATGATTTTCCTTTCACTCCTTTAAGGCTGACTATAGCGTATCTTTTAGAGAAAATATATATCGAGATTGAACTGAATTATAACCTGACCTGCCTCTAAAGAATCCCAATAATCATGACAATGTAATTTAACCCTTATGCCAATTGCTTAATATTTAAAATGGACTTGTCCATCCTTCAATCTAGGCAAAACCATTCAACATTTTTAGGGAGAGTTTCATAAAATATATTATGAACTGACTGTCACTGAACAGACAAGAGTGTACATCTGGTGATAGGGGCAAAAATGTGACAGGCTGACAGCTGACCTTTTTTTTTCTTTTTTTTTTGGGGGAGGTTTTATGTCACACCGACACAGTATAGGTCATTTGGCGATGATCCAGCTTTACTGGTGGAGGATTGGAACAAACGGGCACCTGAGTAGGACCACCGACGTTCCGTAAGCTAGCTGGATAGCTTCCTCACATGAAAGAATCCAAAGTCCCTGACGGGATTCTAACCCACAGCGGTAAGGGGCAAGTGGTTTGAAGTCGACGACCTTAACCACTCGGCCAAGGACGCTCCCACAGCTGACCTTGATTTACACTGGTTGCATGGATAGATTCAGTCCCAAGTTAACAGGCTAGGCTTTAAACATGAGTATTTGAATTGAAAGAATTAATGCAGATATTTTAAAAAGCTCTTTAACCCAAACAAATTTCTTTGGCAATTAGCAAAAGCCAGACTTTTATGACATAACAAGTTGTATTACCTGAATTTCTTGTGTCTGTTCTTCACTGCCCTTCCTTCTGAAAGTATAAGACATAGATCAATATCAACATGTCTTTAATATAAATCAAAATATTCAACTTTTATTTGAATTCTAACAATCAATATCAATTTCTTATTACATCATATAGAAGCACAGAAGATGGATTTTTACATCTGAATTTCAAATATGGTATACATAATACAATGACTATATTTCATCACATCATTCCCAATTAATAGGTGTCAAGATGGCAGTTGTCACAGAGAGACCATGCAGGAGCAATCAGTCCATAATGATGTACAGGCACATTTAACTAGCAGATAGAAATGCTCCCTTTTCTTAGCTGTTATAATGCATTTTGTGTATTTTATATCTTAATTGCCATAATCCTTAAAAATATCATCAGAGAATTATGCATAATTCAAATATAAACAAATTTCATTTTAAAATCTGGTCACAGATACAATTCTTTCATTGAAAATTTAAGAAAATTCAAACATGAAAGGCCCTGCACAGACAAACATACTATTAATTTCATTGGCATATTTATAAATTATTTATTTAAAAAGCAACCCTCACAAGAAGATTGAATAAAATAAATCAGTTAAATGGCCTTTTGGGTATATAATTTGAATAATTTTACATGTATCTGTGTGAGGATGTATCATCTATTTTACATTACACACAAATATGTATATATACATATAATAATAAAATATATAGAATGTTTCTACCAAAATATCCAAGATATGGTAATATTATTAAGTTTACCCCCTTAAATTTATGGGCAGTACTAAGTGAGTTCATTGTACAAATTTAGTGGGGTAATTAATTAAGGTGACTTAAAACATACATGCATATATATATAACTTATAATTATATCTATATATTCATTCCTCACCCTCCACCCCTTATCTTAAAGGTTACATCAGAACACGTTAAGTGTTTGAATATGTTGTGTTTGATGTTAATGGGAATAATCAAATCACACCTGTCAAACACAAACTAGCCTTAAGATATGTAATCTTCCCTTCAAAATGGCGTGTGTCCGTCATTTACACCATCAATTAGCATGCATAAATACAAGTTTTATACACCAATAAGGTGATCAAAGTACATTTTCTTCAACTGCGTACAGTGACATTTGGTGGTTTCTTGTTGATATTAACCCAAGCAAACGAATACTTTTACCTTGTATACTAATGTTTATTGAATGTTTACATTTCGGACATTGTTCAAATGTCAAACAGTGTGTAAATTTAAAAGTCCTTTTAACTTACATGTAAATGAACACTTATTCAAACTTCAAAAACAAATTACCTTAAAGTGGTTTATATCTTTTACTTTAAGATATATGTTTTAAAATTTACGACTCAAAATCTCCGTTAAGGTTAAACATTGTAACAAACTTAACTAATCTTAACAAAACTAGGTCATAATCAAAGTAGCAAAAATTCACTATACTTATCCTTATATTATAGTTATATCCAATAATTTTATTTTCCCCATAAATTCCTTTCCACTGAGTAATTAAACATTATAAAGGTATATTCACTTTACAATTATTTAGATACATCATTGATGCTTACCTGAGTGTAATTTTGCATCCTATACCATATTAGTAATGGCGGCCATTTTATAATTTCCATAAATGACAGTGAGATAAAGTTAGCAATTTGAGCCGTCAAATTTTGACGTTATACAGGTAGATAACTATGTTTATGTTTACAAGGTTAAATGATACAATACTGTCTTAGTGTGATCAAAGGGACTTTAATTTAATAGTACATATACTTGTACACAAATATCACATACCATTGTTCAATAAGATTTTACAAACAATTACAAATAGTATATTTTTGTTCCAATTTCAACAATGTTTTTTTTCTTTACGACACTAAAATAAACTTAAAATTTAATGCAGATTAATTGCTTTTATAGAGTATTGTCTTGGACAGAAGCACTTTATAGGAAATAGTATTCAAGTTCTTTTGAAACAATTTGCATTAATTTCTATAAGTATTAATCAGTAAGTTTTTTTTAATATAAATATCTTCTTAAAGTTAATATTATATCAAATGGTATTAAAATTTATATTTTTTATATTTGTATTAGTGCATTATAAATCATCTTTATTCATTTAAATCACTAAATGCAATTTTAAAGTGTTGGTTTTAAACATATTTATTTAAGCTCAATTGCAAAACATTTTGTTCATACAACTTATATTAATCACTTTCAAGTCTGCTTCCTGGAACCAACCAGTACTGTTGCCATATAAAGTAACATAGTCGTGACCCAATTTGGGCTCGAACCCATGATCCCTGGGTGGAGAGGCAGACAACTTCACCTCTAGGCTAACACTCTCCTTAATTTTAAAGTGTTGAAAGTGTAAAGAGCAAATAGGGCTGATAAAAGTGTTCTACATGTATTTGAAGAAAAAGATTTACAACCAGTAAAGTACTGTGGTGAACAGCCCCCAAAAAAGTGTGAACCCTTGTGAAAGCCTTAATTTGCTGAATTTCTTAACTCTGTATAGTCTAGCTTTCATTTTTGAAATTTTCCAATTTACCAGTTCTGTGACTATATCATGATGAAAATTTAAAGCTATTATCTGCCAACAGTTTTCTAAGAGCCTGGTCCGACTGCATCAACATGCAAGCTCAGGCCTGGCTCCATAGTCTGTTGGCAACATGTTATCATTAACCATTCAATTAAATGTGTACAATATCTTACAATAACATTTAGCACCTGCTACACTGGTACATCTAATATCAGTACCTTTCTTTGCACCCTAATTATTATATTTTAACTAATGATTCCTTCTGAATGCAAGAACAGGCAGTAAGACTTATTTGTGTATTTGATGTGTATTTACTTCTCAAATCCCAAAGATTAGGTAATAAATGTTTCCCTATATATTAAAGTCAATTTGTATACTTCCCCAGGTCAAAGGTATTATATTAATTACACCAAAAAAATGTCTACCACTTGAATGTTACTTTTAATTATCACACCATAAATTATAGTAATTAAATTAAAATATAAACGCTGCAGGGTCTAGCTGATGTTTTTTGTGTGTGTATTAAAAAATACCTTGATTTATCTCCTTTTGTATACTTTATAGTGTAAATATTACATACCTTTACACTACATATACAATGGCCGCTTAAAATAACTTAGTAACCTGAGGCATATGTTAGATAGACTAGATGGAATGTTAACTTTTTAACAATAGACACACATTCCTATAAATTAATGTCAGATTGAAGAAGAAGAAAAAAAAGATTAAAAAAAAAGATTACATTAAAAAACAATCCAAGTGAAAACAGGTGAGGTTAATTATATGCAACACAGGCAAATTAAACTTAATCTAATTTGTCTATCAGACACAGAGACAAAAATCTGCTAGAACTTTATGATACAGTAAAATCTCCATTTAGCTGCCCCCTCTGTAGAGCAGTCACCTCTTTACAACAACTGTTTCAAATTTTCTCAAAGTAAGGCATAGTTCACTACAGATTTAACCCCTTTAGAGCAACACCTATCAACAACAACCAGAATCTTTGTCTCCTGAAGGGTGTTGCTGTACACAGGTTGTATTGTAATCCAAGAAGTCTGTGTTTAATTTTGAATTTGTCAGACATAAAAAAAGCATTTCTTTGAAAATTCAGCACTTGAGATAAAATGGTGCTCTGGTTATTTGCACTACATGACCAAGTTTCAAACAAACACACACTATTTAGGATTCTTGGTTATTTTAACAGTCTACATGAACAAGTTTCTAACCAACAGACATGATTATTTAGCATTCAAGCCAGTGTGTTAAATATTGATGCCAATAATTATTGACTACACAGACATCAGTTGTCTGTGAAATCTGGAGGTGCCCTGATGTCGGTTTAAAAATAAAACAACCATTTTTTACAAGGGCAGGAAAAACAATGTTCACAATCAGTTCCCTATAATCAGAGAATTTATAAAAGAAAAGTCCAGACACAGATTTGGCAAACATGACCAAATGTATTTTTGTAAGTTTTAGTTAGGTATAAAAGAATGATGAATTTTACAAAAGCAAATACCGACCAATTATAATGTTATTCTTTATAATATCTTTAAATTTGAATTTCATAATAAACTTTTACACCTTTAACTTTCATGTAAAATCCTATTAGAATACAATTGTTTAACTAATTTGTTTTGTACATACTCAATAATAATAGAATGCAAATCAGAAATCTTCATTTAAATTACAGAGATAACTTTAATTTATACACATCACTGCCTATTTATTATAAACTACACAAAACGGCCTTGAAATTGTCAAATCTATTTCTATCTCATAAACATCGCGATTTTGTTTTCATTTATTACAAAATTGTCCATAGAAATGCAATGAAGATGCGTTTAAGCACATTTATTGCATACCTGGGACAATTAAGAACAATCGAGTATTGTCAAGTCAGACGTTCTCCCCAAATATTATTACCTACGCGTATTTCTTTTCAATTCATGACATTGTAAAAATAGAGGAAAAAAAAACGAAAAACTGATGATGAGGTACAAAATCCATACACATTTATTTACTTCCTATTTCAGTCCACAAACATCTGACTTAAAAAAAACTTCTGTTTTTTGTTTGTTTTTTTTTTTTTCAAACTTTTTTTTTTTTTAGCATTTCTTCAGTCAAGGTTCCTGAATTACTGAATAAATAAAATGCTTATTGATAAAAAGTTCATCTAAATTTTTATCTAAACCCTTTAATACCAAACAAAATTTATATAATGGATTTGTCTGGCTGTATGGAATTTCATTTCATTATGATACCTGTGTATGTAAAATTCAAATACTTAAATAAATGTAATTGGGTCAGAAGGAATGGATATATAGGCTGGCCTGTGGCTCTATACTCGTGCTGGGCTGGCATGATTCCGATTTGCACGTAAATGTTCGTTTTATCTGATACTGTCTTTACTTGTCCTTATGATATTTACTTTAAGTTATTTATAAAGTATATTCTCAACAACTTTAGCTTGTTCACATAGGCTTATAGAGGACTCTGGGCTTGCCCAACAGTTTACTGTGTTGCCTCATTAAATAAAGTTGTTACTTACTTTATTTACTTACTTACTTACTTAAGTATGGACAATCTGGACTGACGACAATATGGATCAATTCAGATTTTGCCATGCTGTCAATGGTAACAAATAGCCGAAGTTTTGATGCCATAACATTTTTGAAAGCCAAGAGAAAGTCAGTATTGTATACTTTTAATTGATTCTCACAATTACATTCTAACATGTAACTACACCAACCTTGTTTTTAGACTTGCACAAGACATTTAAAATAATAACTGAACACAAAACTACTAAAAGGCTCATGAAATATTTACAATAATTGTTTTTCATGCTATTAAGGCAACACATGATTTAGAGGAAATATTCCAAAAATCTATCCAAAACACACTGAACTGTGCTCGATTTTTTACAGTATTTAATATGGAAAAATTAAGTCTATTTTTATTGAACGGACAGACATCCAGGGAAAAATGAGTCAAATTTGCCCTGTGGAGATATTCTCCCCAAGATTTAAATTGAAAAAGCCATCTAACAATCAACACACACTTGTGACTGATGCGGAAAGAAAAATGGATAATTTCAGTTGGTTGCTCAAAATATGCATACTGAATGTTAAATAAGAAGGGGGACAGATTTTGCTTCCAATCTTTAAGGACATAAATGGTGACATGTTTGGGAATCTGAGAGGGCGGATGGATCCTCATAAAGCCTAGAATACATACATGCTTCCAATATTTTACTTAGATGACCAGGAATTTCAGGGGTGAAAATTAAGGATAAAAGTGGTTGTCAAAATATTAAAATTCCTATATTCATTTGAAAATTAAATTATCACGGTGGGACTGTACTGATTATGCTATACATTAACTAAAGTATTCCAAAATTTTACTCACTTCTTCTTAAAAGCTGTAAATCTTCTGGTCTTCATTTCTCGTTTACCTTCTGAAAAATAATATATTTTAAAATACTGTTAATTGAGAGCTATTTTGATATTAGTTACAAAATAAACTTATGATTAATTATACTTTGCACACAAAAGTCTTGCTCTAGAATTAAAAGTAGTTCCGGTTTTTCTTGCAAATTCAGGGGTATAAATAACTTTTTAAAGTTACTACGTCAAAAATAAGCCCAACAGGTTGACTAATCTATTGTGAATAGTAGTGTTCCCTCAAGTTGTAGCATTGAAAGTTTGTTTATTCCAGGGGAGAAAACCCAAAATTGCCAAGTTCTGGGTTATGACTTAAGATAAAATCTTTTTACAATTCAGTAAACAACATATTAAACAAGCCATTTTAAACACCTAATCACATGACTCCTACGATCAATGACAAAACTCAAGAATTGCAAGACATACAGATTAACCTTGGAGACATTCTTTTCATACAAAAACTATTCTCACAAATCAAATATCTAAAATCTAACCTTTCCTAAAAATGGAAAAACTTTACCTATATCATCTATTGACATATTAGCTGGTATTTCCTCATAAAGGTCTGCCTCGCTACTGATATCCCCTTCATTTGATATGTCGTCACCTAACTTAATACCCACTACGTCATGGTAATAGGGGCCATCACTACTGATATCCTCGTACTCCACGGAAGAGCCATCGTCCCCTAAATTTTCAATCGGAAGAGATTTTGTCCGTCGTACAATCGTTGGTTGCTTTTTAGCTTTAGCGTCCAGATCTTTCAAAGCTTGAACAGTTTTTAAAACATTTCCCCTATCCCTAGGTGAAATGATTTCTTTCCGTTCATTGGACTTTGCTCTATAAACAACTCCCCCTTCAAAAGACTGTTTTCTTTCCAATACTTTTTGTTTAATATCAATCTTTGGCTTTCTTTCCGCAGATGGAGATTTAGATCTAGTGGTTACAGTCTGCGTTTCAAAGCCTTTCTTTAAATCTTGAAATTTATCTGTACTTATTCTTCTTGACACTGCAAACTCCTTTCTTTTTATTTCCCCACCCTTCTGTGCATCTTTTGGTGGTTCAGGGGAAGAAAATCGTTCAATTTTTGACTGAAAGACCTTGACCTCTGATTGTGTAAATGAAGAATTAGATCCAGAGCTCGAGGCTCTACTTAATGGCCTATGACCTTCACCTTTAACCCTAGTTTGTTCTTTAAATTCCTCTAATGAAACTCTACCTTTTTCTACCCACTTCAGATCACCTTTGACCTTAGGTGACCTTTTCCCTTTATCAGAGTCACTACTAAATGAGCCAGAATTTCTATTCAATCTGACCTTGACCTTTTCCTTATCACATGACAGCTGTTTAACAGCAGTTAGTTTTGAAGTAGAACTAGAACTTGTTACGAGCTTTTTAGATTCTGAGCCTTCGTTATTAATTTTCGTGAAATTTCTTTGATTGTCACTTTTCTCCCATTTTAAAAGATTAGAGTCTGATTTTGAGGATTCAAATTTTCGTATATTTTCATTAACATCAGTTTTCTTATCTTCCTGTTTTAAAACATTTGACCTATAACCTCTTGGACTTAAGTTGCCTCTTGGACTTAAGTTACTACTACCTGAGGAGTCATCACTTACTGGGCTTACAGATCTAAAACCCTTAACGGTATTGTCCTGCTTCACTTCTGTACGTAATTTCCCAACTGAACTGTCATTAAACTTCCCTGTTTTATCTTTCTCTTTTGTTTCAGAACTATTTGCCTTCCAACCTTTAGCCACACCTGGCTTGTATTTATGCTCTTTTAAATCCCGAATACCTGGCGATTCAGGTCGGAGGGACGACGATCGAGGAGAACTCGAACCTTTTTCCGTCTCCTCCTCAATTGAATTACTTCTGGGCAGTTTTTCTTCATCACCTTTTAAACTATTTGGTCGCGTTCTTAATTTCGTTAATCCAAATGATAATGCGGAAATTGCGTCTGATTTAGTAACAACACCGCTAGATGAGTCATCGTTAGCAGATTGAACTTTTTTCACTCCTACTGTAGCTTGATATGTATTTCCTCCACTATATGTTTTAGCGACTGCAACATTGGGAGGCTTTTCATCTTCAATAAGTTTTTCAATTCCTGTTTTATTCAGTTTAGTTTTTAAAGCATTAAATGCCTTCAGGTCCTCATTATTTAACTTCCCTGAGACAGTTTTTGTTTTAGACGTCTGAACTGTGGAGGTTGTTTTTGTGGTAGAGGGTCCAGATTTTGTTATTGTTGTTTTCTGTGTGGACACAGTAACAGTTTTCTTTCCAGATGCTCCATCTTGTTTATCAAACATTGCTTTAAGGTCCGACACTGGTTGGGTTCTAAAATCAGACCTTCTGGCACCCCCTGGAGTTCGTCCACTGCCCTTTCCTGGGCTTGAGCCCTGCGATTCATCTCTTTTCTTTAACTGAACACCAAAACTTGAAGCCATATTACAACTCCTTCAAATATCAAACGATAATTATTTTCACATTTTGAATAAAATCTTCATTACTCTTAGGTGTTATTTTGGTTTGTGAAAGATAAACATTACAAGCTATCTAAAGAACGTTATCTTTGCGATGACATGTTTAACACATTGTGATAAATATCCGGATATTGTGACGAATTCCAACCTCCTGCACATTCTACACCATCCCATTCAAAACCAAACCGAATTACAGAAATATTTATTAAAACACAAACTTCTTTAATATCCTTGCTTAAATTTCCAGTATATTTATACCCCTTTGCCTTACCCGATTATATTGACATACCCAGTGTAAGATCAGTCAAGCTTGTGTAATTCAATGTATTAAAATGTGCTTATTTTTCGACAATAAGTAAATATTAGTACACAGTATTCCCATATCAACATTTTAACTGCCGTAGATTTATACAAGCCGCAGTCCCGGATACTTGTACAGCTTCTATTGACAAGGAAATGTGTAATAAAATGTCATTGAAATAACGCACATTTATGACAGTCTCCTCCACGATATCATATTCCACGCTGTATTATCAATGTGGGTAACTTGATACCTACTACAATATAATCACAATTCGTAGATTACTTCACCCCCTTTCTATCTTTTGAATTCATATCCATTCTAATCTACACTCATCTCATCCTTGTGTATTTCTATTTTTACATTCAATAAAAATTTTTATGCACACTTAGAATACACTGTTGGTGTTTTTTTCTTCACAACTCCTTCAAAACGATTAGAAATTATTATTAAATTAGTAATCAGAATTCCGGTTAAGTAAAAATTCATTGACCATAAATTCTCCCCTGTTAAATATATTCAATCATGTTTCTTTTCTGTTTTCTTAACACACTTGCTGTTTAACACCATTAAATCTTTCTAGTCCATTTGCACTATTCAAATGTGTGATCCACAATATCCAGGCGAGAAGCCACTAAAAATCACTGCAGCATAAAATGACCAGACCGGCAGGTAATTATCTTAGTGATCCTTTCTCCGGCCCATGTAGTTACCATCCTTTCTACCTGAAAATAGAAATAAACACAGTCTGTTTTAACTCATCCATCACCAGTCTAATAAATGTCAACTTTCTTTTTTAATAGTGGTAACGTTAGTCAACATACATTACACACACAAAAAACCAAGGTTTAGACATTATGTTGTGTAATGACTATGTATGTATAATTAACATATAATTAAATAATAATGCATTCACTTGTTGTGTTGACATATTGACAGGACAGGATAGTGTTGAGTCCAACTTGACCTTTCAAGGTCATTTCCACCGTCTTTATGGTCATATTTAAATTAACTGAATTTAGGCTGAAGGTTGTTAAAAAATCATTAAATATTTTACATCATTTTTAGAAATCATGGCCTTTCATGTTTACCAGTAATATTAGGCAGGACATGCTGCATGCTGAATTATTGTTCTCTGTCCTGAGTGACATATTAAACAAAAAAATAACTTAATAGCATTTACACTTGATATAATTTTACATATTTCATATCAACAATTGCATTTTCAAATTCAAAATAAGGTCAAGTCATTTTAACAAATTTTGCTGGGATAATTTATGTTTGTGTATTTTCATCAAATCTTGCTCATTCCACATGAAGATTAATATTACAGCTGATATAAACAAAGTGTCTTTAAAACATAACATTTAAACATTAAAAGTATTATGAAATTTAATACATTTAAAACATTTTTGGCTTAGCATACCTGATATTTGGTGACATTTCTAAGTGTATTCAAAAAAATTTCTAAAAATCACATTTAATTAAGAGAAAAACCATTGATAAAGGAATTAAAATGGATTAAATCTTCTTCTAAGGTTGCCCGATTGTCATGTAACAAAAATATCCCCATACTAAGTATACAGCTAAAAATTGATTGGATGTTTGGATGGGTTTTAAATAAGGCCAACAATTTTTTTGGTTGAGAAAGTCTGGGAGATGGCACCTCAGAGTTAAACCATTGAAGCTATGTGAAAAGCTTAACCTGTCTCTGGCGGAATTCAAACCCAAAGTTGTGAGTCGCAAGGGGTTTAAAGTCAACAACCTTAACCACATTGCCAATTTATAAAAGCTCGCCTAATTAAGAGCGCTGTAAGAAATGAATGAATGATTCAATGTCAAGGATATGAAAACAAAACCACAATTCTATATTAATTATACAAGGATTTATAACTTCCTTTTCATGAGGTATTTTGTTCATAATTTAACTGGCGTAATAAAATATGAAGACATATTCACTACTATAGGCACTCCTTTTTGAACTGTAAATACTTGTCAGTTTAAGTAATCATTCTTTAAAAATATTGATCACTTAAAATATTTAAGTGTAAATAATCAGGTTTATCTTTAATTATAATCTTAACAAAATGAAAACAATATGATGCTTCAGATATATGTGGGCTTTTAAGTCTCATTGGCACTATAAAGGTCATATATTCGCAACATTACAGCTTTATTGTATGGTGGAGACCTCAGGGCCTTGAGGTTAAATTAAAGGTTTATAAATTAAAGAGTTTTGTCTCGAATTTTAGAATTTTTTCAATTACGGTCAAATCATAAAAATAAAAAATTTAATCTATGCCTGGTTTCTTCTGGATGGAATATCAACACAATCCGAATTCACATTTTAAGATTGCGCTTATAAAAAGTTTATTCTTCGCGCGCCTTAAAGAACCCCAGCCAATCCTTAAATAAGAGCGCTTAGGCGAAATCAAAGACAGGGAAAACGAAAACACTCATTAACCAAAAGCTTAATATTAAGTTTTCTATCATAAGTGAAATGATCTTAACTCTTGGTAAGATTTAAATCTAGACAGCAATGAGGGTCAAGCTATTTGAAGTAAGCCATCTAAAACCACATGGCCTTAAATATGACCTTGAAATACATGACTTAAAATGCATCACACTAGCAAGTTTAAATCACATTCATTCAGAACTGACCACCCAACAATGTAATGTCTTGTGATAAATATTTGAACCTTTCAACAGATGACAAGTAAGTACATATACTTAAAAATCCAAAATTGAATAACTAATCGTTATCAGAATGGAAATTTAAATAAATAAATAATTCTACTGAGTAAATATTAAATCTATTATTCTGATAGAGAAACCTACAGTTAACTTATACCACTGGTCAGACTTTAAGGTCACATGATCAACCTCATGATCAACCTCAGAACGATCGTACAAACCGACAGTAACCGTAATACACTAGGACAGACAACTTTAACACATTCAGAAGTTTTGACACTCGTCTAACTGGCATATCACACTATGATATGTGTACTTGTCAAACTTTTGTGTTCATATTAACTACGTAGCCTTGTTTAACCGTTAAGCTATAGGTGACCTGTCAATCAAATGGTCATTTAAACCGATAAAAGTGTAAAGAGCGGCGATGACTTTTTAGAAATACAAGTGCAGTCAAGCAAAGTATAACAGGTCTTGACTGCCCAAATTTTTTCATTAAAGTTTCAAACCAGCTTCGGACCCTCAGGGAACCAATCCTTAATATTTATTAAATAAATAATAAAATTATGCAAGTTCTCCACAATTCTGACAAGTGAAATAAAATGTTGCTATTTGCTTATATTATTTCTGCAATTGCATGCATTAAAACTGAAATAAAGTTTATTCTACTATTCCTTTGACCTTTACAGCTGAACAAACAAAATTGAATGATACATTTAAAGTTCCTACCGCTAGTACTTGGGGAGAGCCTCCGATAGTACTAATGAAGGGCCTCCTTGGTCAGATACCCACAGCACAGAATAAAAATTGATGGCAATTTTACGCATTCCAACAGGTTATATATATATATATATATAGACAGTACATGTTACAATTATATCTCAGCAATGTTGAATCGTTATCAATAATGTCATTACAATATATGACCAATCAAAATGCCTAAGTATCTAACTTTAAAAATTCCTTTAAACAGTAGTTTTCAACTTTGATTTTGACTATCCTAAGTATCAATTAAGAGAATTGTTTACCATAATGTGAAACCATAAAACCACATTTCCTTAGAAACTTTTTTTTAGCAGTTCTTAATTAAAGTCTAACCAAAATAATGAACCCAATCTTTCAGAAACACCACAATGTACTGTTAAATTAAGTGGGCTTGTCTTTTCTTTTTTTGTCCTGTTTTTGGTATTTACAATAGTGTATCATGGTGAATTGTGGTGTAACTACCTCAACTCATGACCAGACTACAAAGATGTCACGTAACACTGACCTCTGCAGTAAGTGTTTGCAGTTCAACGTTACACAAGTGTCATAATTCTCGGTGACATGCCTCGCAGGTTAATATAGCTTACACCACATAATTACTAATATATTAGTCACAATCTAAATGAGTAACAAAATACCAGTTGATCATGATATAATAGTACATGCAGGAAACAAGCCGGAAGCAGTATGCAGGATTGTATCTGCTGGGAAAGTGCATTGTTGTTTTTTTTTCTCTCCATACAAATCAATTAAACTAAAAGAAAAGAAATAATTGGTCTTATTATTTCATAGTTTAATGTAACTGGTAAACAGAACAAGTAACCTTAACCATGTCAGGCCTTTAAGTGCATGCATGCACTTTATAGCTTTCAATGTTATTTCATTTATTAGATTGGTCAACTCTTAGAAGAAACATGATACATACTCAAGAAATGATCTCCTTTTGTAAGAAGCCAAATTCACCTCTTATAAGAAACCATCTACAAGGAATGATCACCTGTTATAAAAAGCCATCAACGAGCATTGGTTTAACCTCTTATAAGAAACCATTAACAAGGAATGATCATCTCTTATATAAGAAACCATCTTAAAGGCAAGTGACTGTGTCTTCTTCTATTAAAGAATCTATCCGGTAGCATTGGCCACCAGTTTATCAAGCATGCAAGTCATGAAATACACTGTTCTTTAAATATATGTTTATAAAAAAAATTCCTATCATAGACACCAAAGTGTTTCTAAAATACATGTATGTATAAAATAATGTAGGTGTTGTTAAAAAAAAAACCATGTACCATCCGCATTCTTATGATTATTTGTAAAGGGGGTGTTAACGATGTATCACATATAATGGCTTCATGCATGATGAAACTTGAAAAATAAATGTAAATCTTGCTACATTGTGCATTTAAATTGCAAATAATAATTTTGGGTGTATTATATTTCAAAATAAACTTCCTTTTTCAAATTCTATAGCCAGAGTTAAAACTGCGATATAATTTGTGTGACAATCTATTCTAAGTTCAAGTACTTGTCAATATTAAGTAAACTGCAACTCCCAAGCCAAAATTTGGGACATTGACTTTTGAAAGGCACTGTGCAGACTGGTGATCAGTTAGCTCATGAAATTTCTTACATCACGTCAGCACTGCTAAGTTGGACATCATTCATCCCTCAGCTTTTTTAAACACCAACACAATTAAACCGTCACATTGACACAGCACAGTGCGGTGAGCCGTACTGGAAGGCAAGAATTGGCTCTTTCCCGTATCTTCCCATTGTACTCGCCTGGGGGTGGGTAACAATTACCAAAAATGGCTGCAGATCTTTCAATATATTTAGTCAAAACCATTCATAATCATAGGGAAAACTTCAAAAATGTATACTGACTGAATAACAAACATTGCAGACCATCCTAGATGGCATGATTGTGCCGACTCATCTTGATCTTCACTAGACACTAGTATCCCAAGGGTCACTTATAATAGAGTCCAAGGCTATAGCTTGATTCTAAGGGTCAGGGTCAGTATCTTCTTCTTATAGCCATAGGAGGACATTGCCTATATATGTACATAAAATAGTACAATATAGACTCATTCTTAAACTACAATAGGCCATGGATACCAGGTAGAGTTATTTTGCAGCTGTTAAACATATACTTATATATAATATATTGCAGGGCAACCATAATACAAATAAAGCTAGGTTTAAGATAAGAATAATAACTCAAAATATAAAGCTGTGTAAACATTATCAGGTTTATATAATCTTCAAGAGTGTGCACATTAAATTTTAAGATCCTCTTCTCATGCATTTAATTATTTCATGGAAAATCTTGTCAGGCATTGTATGTTTGTAATTTAAATGCTGAATAGTGCACTCACTGTCAAACATATATTTGTAAACCTGAAATATTAAATTTTGTATTTTTAAGAATGATAAGGCTGTATTTGAACTTTTTGTTCAATGATATACTGCAAACCACTTATAACTTATTAAAATCTGTTAACTTCTGAGCAACTTACGTTTAAGTTTGTTTAAATTAGCAGGTTTATTTGGTTGATTTATTAACAGCAAGAACTTTTTTTTGTCGATTGACAACTGCCAGGAAAAGGAAGATTTAAGTATTGTGCTTTCCATAGCATGAAATCTTTGGCTAATGCAGACTTATGGCTGACAAATCCTTGGCTAATACAGAATTATGGCAGAGAAATCTTTAGCTACAGAGAAATCCTTGACTAATGCAGACTTATGGCAGACAAATCCTTGGCTAATACAGAATTATGGCAGAGAAATCTTTAGCTACAGAGAAATCCTTGGCGAATACAAAATTATGGCAGAGAAATTCTTAGCTACAGTGAAATCCTTGGCTAATGCAGAATTATAGCAGAGAAATCCTTGGCCAATGCAGAGAAATCCTTGGCCAATGCAGAGAAATCCTTGGCTACTGCAGATTTATGCCAAAGATATCCTAGGCTCACTCACTCAGCGGCTACTGCAGAATTATGGCAGAGAAATCCTTGGCTACTGCAGAATTATGCCAGAGACATCCTCATGGTTTGGTTAAAGTTAAACCGGCAGTACTATTCTGCAGTTACTGTAGTCAAAGATTTCTCCGTAGCCAAGGATTTTTCCTTGAACACTGGCTATTCATGGAAGAGCACTCATAATGTCATAATGATAATGTAAATCTAAATCATGTTACATATCAAACTTCCTGTATTGAGTGAAACACCAGGTTTAATATCTGTACATAATATACATATACATAAAGTACTATTATATACATGGTTAGTACTGCCTTCTTTCTTTATTGCTAAAGAGGTGCCTAAAAATTTATTAAAAGGTTCTTAATAATAAAAGGAATTTCTATCGACAAGAATATTTATTCACCAGTTACACATTTTGATGGTCATTGAACACGAATTAGAACAAGAAAGGTGTAATTGACGACCTTTGGCGCAACAAAGTGCCTTTATCATGAGACTTTTGATTTCAAGACACTTTTGAATCGGCCTTTTTATTAAAATTTTTAAATACTTATTAATCCGCTAGGTAAAATGTTACAATTTTAATTAGTTAATTACAACCATAAATTTTTTAATGCATAATTAAGACATTTTTGCATGTCAACAACAACAAAATATATTATACACTCCGCAAAAAAGATCAATATTGTTACCTCATTACCGTAATTTTGGTTTGAAAGGGCTTCAATTTGATCTACGGCAGTTTGCATTGACCAATCGGCGACACGCTAATACACTGTTGCTGTTTATTGACAATTACACAAAATGGCGACAGATTCAATCAATTTTCGCCGATAAAATGATAAAAGACACCTGCATATAAATAATTGCTGCGGTGTTTTGGCGAGTAAAGATAAACAATGCTAAACGTCTTAAAGGTGTGGTTATGTTTTAAACCTCGATTGTTATTTTTTTTCGTAGCACTTTTCTGTAGAAATTATGTGGAGATTTGTATCTAATGTTTATTAATACATTGAACTCCGTAAAGTAATCAGGCTGATTGAAAATTGAAATTAAACATTTTTTTTTACAAACAGATTTATCAATATAAATTACATTTTAATGAATATGTAACTTTTAAATACTAATGTTATGGTGTAGTTTATAATCTTAACCAATTATACATGCAATTTTAATACTCTCTTGTTTTTTTATAAATGATATTTGATATGTTTAATATCAATAAAAATATAATTAAACCCTTAGTATGGTACTATCCTGCTTTTCAACAAAATATTGGTATGATAGGTTCATATATCCGAATTATGTAGAGACTGATATGTATATATATACATGGTCTAGTACCTGCCTTTTTCTTTCAATTTCGCTAAAAGAGGTCTAAAATCTTGATTAAACAGGTTCTCTAATTAAATTAAAGGTAATTTCTCATGACAGATTATTTAATTAAGAGTTGGACACACAATTTTGATGGTCTATTGAACAATCAGATACAAAAAAGATGTTATATTGACTGTATTTCTTCTAATATGTGAAACGCCAACAAAATGCCTTTATATGAGAACTTAAATTTTGATTATAATTTGACACTTTATAATCAGGGTAACCATATTTTGATATAAATTTATTTTGAACCTTATCAGTGAAATCCTCTAATAAAAATTTTACAAAATTTTAGTTCAGGTAATTAAATATGCTTCATAAGTATTATTATGATCAATGAAAACATATAGACATTTATTTTGCTGATAACAGATAATGAAATATATTTGGTACTTACTCTTGAAAAGATGCCAATTTGTTACCTAACAATGGATAACTCGCCCTAAGATTTTGTTTAATGAAAGGTGCTAACATTATAAGAATTACGGCAGTTAAGTTTATATAATACAACTTCCATCTGCCACATTATCCTTCAATTAATGTTAATCTCCACTGAGATTAGTTTAGATTTAACAAACCAGAACAATGCAAACTTGTAAACATGTACATGATGATGTTACATATAATGAGCTCGTTAGTATTCCAAGCATTTACATTATCTGGGTAAATTTTGTTAACATTAGATAATCAAGACACCTTAACTGTCACATTTAAACATTGTTTTTTTATTTATCTGCTTAGTTTATCCAGTATGTGCAATTTTTATATGCATCTTTTGTGGCTTAGTTTTAGGTCACACTGACATAATACTGTTATAGTCAATGTGATTTTCCCACCTTGTCTGGCGGAGGAAATATTATACAACAAGCCATGGCACAAGGGATACCTGAGTAGAACTGACAGAATTTTCTAAGCTAGTTCAAGATATCTATAGCTCCCTCACATGAAAGGTAATCAAGTTCCAAGCAAGATTCAAACCTTAGTAACAGTGGTTTTTTCGTCCAATCCCCTTAAAATCAGATCATACATGTAGTTCACCCTCAGTTACTCTATGCTATAGATAATGAAGCATCAGTTAGGGAATGATTTTAATAAGACTGATATTTTGTCTAATAGAGATAAAACATATTTATTTATTATAAGCTTAATTACACATATCACTTTCAAGCCCACTTCCTGGAACAAGCCATACAGTACTGGTATCATGTAAGGATACATGGTCAAGACCTGTAAGGGCTGAAAGGCACTAACCTATGATACCCGCATTTAAAGGCACACTTCCTAAGCACTCGGCCATCTCACACTTTAAGTGCTAAGGGACAAGAGATTGACCTTATTTTTTCTGACAAGCAATGCATGTTGGCTTATCATCTACACATATTAGCCTGTACTGACTATTAATTTACCCATAAAGTAAAACTGTATGTTGATTTAGAAATATAATAAAAAGAAAATTTATCCACAGCATTACTTAATAATTCTTAAAGGTGCACGCCTCCAGATTTAAGCTAATTTTCATGAAAATTTTGACAATATATCCAAAAAAAAAAATATTGTCAAGTGAACAAAAAAAGTAATTTATTGCTAAACGGCATGTTTGATCCTTGTAAATTACCAAATAAAGGTCAAAATATGCAAAAATTGCCCTTAATGTGTTTGTCATGCAGTAGAAATAATAATTAATATGGTAAAAAAATCAGGTTATTTATTGCATATAATAACATGTTAGTAATTAGTAACTTTAATTGTGAATATTCTTACTTTTCTTAAAAGCTTAGTTCATTTTTCACAAAGTTGATTTTCTTGAAACTTTTTGACTCATCAACGGAGGCATGCAGCTTTAAACCAATGATGTTACGATTTTAAACAGGTTATTTTCAATTTATCTAAATTTCATTATACTATCTTGATTTTGACAATAAATTTCCACATCAATAAATATTTATTAACAAATTCAACAGAAAACATGGGGTTTTAATGCACAGAGTTAAAATTATCCTCTTTTGAAGAAGACAATGCCATCAAGTATAATTATTGAAGCTAGAAATTGTCAGCAGACGTCCAGTCAATGGTATTGATTTTCCTTGTTTATCAGACACTGAATCATTCCTTTATATAGGCAAAAACATCATTACTCTTAACTCAGAAAAGCTGCTCAATTCTCATATCAACTTGTCAGTTATCCTTATCATATTACAGGTCCTATCAACAGATGACATCATAGTTTCACATACAAAAGATGCAATCAAAATCTTTCTCCCCCACTCACATTATGCCTATTTTCTTTAAATTTTTGCTGCAAAATTAAAGGCACATTATGCCCCAGAAATCCATTTTTTATTCTTTAGAAATATAAAACATATGTTTGTAAGTACATGTACTACATACATGTAGCTTCTTTAACAAATAAGCAATAACTTACATAATTATGATACGCAAATTGATTAAATAATGTTTAGAATAAAAATGATAGAGTAAAATTAGAATTCAGTTAAATAAATGATGGAATAAAAAGATTTTAATTCAAAATGATAAAAGTTCATCAAAAACTTACATACTTAGATAAACAACATCCACCGTCCATTAGAAATCAAAACAATAATGTCTAACTATAGGTGTAACACTATAAAAGCCCTATTGTTGTTTTTTTCTCTTGTTTAGTACTATTTCACTTTACTGCATGAAGCTACACAGCTTGACTAAGATTTTTATATAAATCAACTTGAATCGTAGGAAATGTGCTTAAACTGTTATCAAAGAAGCACAATGCTTCCCGGAAATTGTGGCGTGAGTGTCTACTTGAAATAAGACTTATTATATTTCCTGAATATCTTCAAGTTGGTTTTAATGTACATTTATATCACAAACACTTCATCCAATTCATCCACATGAACATGATATGTTTTAACGAAATAATATGCTTTAATCACAAATTAAGTTATACATTATTTCTTATTTTTAAGTATTACTTTGCCTATTATGTTATATTGGACACTACTTTGCAGCATTATCCAAACATTAAATGAGCTATCATTCAAACAATATAAGTATTAATATAATATATATTACTTATGTTAGTATATATACTTATAATATAAGTCACTTTTAGTGTATGAGGATCATACACCTAGCAACGTTACTGTTAAAACAGATGTTTAAAGTTTAAGGGGTTTCTTATTATGATATTTGAATCTACCAGGGGTTTTTTTTACTAACAAATTGACACCGATAGTCGGCGTCTTCCCCTCGGTAAATAGCCAAGTTTTTTCCCCCAAAAAAATTCTATTTTTCCTTTAAACTGGATCAGATTTAATATTTACATGGTTTAAAATATTAATTTTCTCCCTTTTATCCAGGATAAACCACCAATTGTAGTCCAAAATAACCAAAATCATTGCAGAAAACTGCAAGTACTGTCTCAACATGGAGGCAGCCATTTTTTTTCTTGGCTACATCCCGTACTGAACGGTACTATTTCTGGAAATCAGTTGCTATCAAAATATTGTCATTTTCTTGGTTATTTTTAGTAAAGTAATATATTTTGTATTTCTTATTATGAAAATGACTTGTATGGAGCTAAAGTGTGTCACAAATACACTATTATACCTATACTGTATTAAATTTCATACAAATTATATATTAAGAATATATGTTATACTGCAAAGAATATTTTGCATGATGATAAAGTTTTTAAGGGAAAAAGATATAGTTGTAACACTCTTCTATGTAGTTAAGTATATAGTATAAATAAGGTCATAATAAATTTTCCCCAAATTGACTTTTTTCGTATACTTTTTCCCCTCCCTACCAGCGTCCAGCGTCTTCCACTTTTCCTAAAAAAAAACCCTGTCTACTATCATTTCATTTGCAGGGGTTTTCTTCAGAAATATTCCAGATTATGCAAGAAAGGTCTGAGTGTACAAGTCTCATGGTATTATGCACAATTAGGCATGGTAACTGTGATATTACAATGTATTAAGTGGTGGTGGTGTTTGGTAGTTTTCATTCTGGATCACTGCGAGTATTATAGCCACACTGTGGTATTAAGTCAGAGTGAGAACTGCATGGATGGATATTGCAGTATTAAGAGTGTGGGCCCAGGCAAGGTATAAATATGTGAAGTCAATGAAGTCAGACTATTAAGGAATTTTATTTATAAGCCCTGGTTAGTATTGAAGTTGAAAATAGTAAGTGAATTGTTTATTTTATCTAAGAGTAAGATGTATCATTTTTTAAAATTTCACTGACTCATTTAAATGTTAATAACATAATACATAACGAGTCTAAGTCAGTAAGTTGGCCTTTAGATACATGACTAGCTCACGGTGTGTGTTCAATACCTATCAGGGGCATTAGGCTAGCCAGCTGTCTTGTTAAATTATATTCCTTGAGCAAGAAACTTTAGTACTGAGATTATGTTTCTATAACAGCTTATTTATACCTTCCTAGTCCTACACAATCAAATCAAAATAAAATAAAGTCTTTATCATTAATATCAATAAAGCCATTCAGTTTTGGGTTTTAAATTTTAATAAAAATTAAAATAGTAACTGTCAATAACTCAGAAACAAATAACTCATATTGAAAAAGCCTATTAAGGTCATTATTAAGGACTTAATAGTGTCA